ATTCTTCCGAATTTATTTCAAGTAATTTTAAGCCTTTCGTTTATTTTGCTATCCATTTTTTTTAATGACGAGTATTTCAGCATGGCCCGCCGCCCTGAAGAAGAGGTAATAGCTAGCCGAAGTCGAAGCAGTAATTAGTTGGAGATCATTCTCCTGGCGCCCTTTTATTAATGATAAATTTTTTTTTTAAGTAAGCCAAATAATAAATAAACGGTGAGCCTGGCTTGGTAAATCCCCAGGTCAGGCAAACTTCCGTTATAAACTATACAGAATAAAAATCATAAAGTAACAGTGAAAATCGGGTGCCGCAAACGTTTGAATGTGCACAAAGTAAAGAAATATAGATGTATTTGATCTTAAAAGAAGTTGAAAAATGATTAAGAGAGAAAAATGAAATGATCGAAAAAAAATTATAAAAAGTAAATTCGTTCGATTAGTTGATTAGAGTAACTTTAATTATAAACGATGTCAAATTCACTTGAGTGCAGTATGAGAGGCGCCGAAAACTTTGAATATAAATAAAGTAAAGAATTATCTGAACAAAAACAGTTTCACTGTAAAAAATTGCGCCAAGTCCACGTTCATAAAACTCATCTCAATAACATTTGTACTTTACAAAAAAATTAGATTCGTTTCAATAATTTTTATTCTCTACAAAAAGATGTGAAATACAAAAAAATACCAAGAAACCGTCATAATGTTGAAAAAATTGAAAAAAAATTTGTTGAAAATTAAAAAATAAAAAAAAATTTTTTTATCGTACTTGGCGCGCGTCATTGAGTACCCCAAATTTTTTCAGGATAAATAAACATCCTTTTAATATTGAGAAATTTATAAGTAAGTCAACCTATGATATTTCGTAATAATAAGTTTTACAAAAGTTAGGTTAAATCGACATGTCATACGCAGTTATGCAAACTACATACAAGTCGATACACATGCATACGTTGGGTCGGTCGCATTGCGAGAATTGTGTTTACTAAAAAATAAAACATATTGCCGACTAAATTGGGAAAATGCAAAGTGAGTGCCAATCAAAATGTATTAATTACAATTAAACGAAGCAATATCAAGCTTTAATATTGCATAAGGTTCTTCACTAAAGATTAATGACAGAGCTGAAAAAAAATGAATCCTAAAATTTTATATAATTTCAGATTTCTTGAACACACCACCATATTTACAGTTGTTTTCACTAAAGATCTAAAAAAAAAAATTTAAAAACGGGTTTTCTCACTAAAACAGATAATTAATACACTAAGCAATGTTTTCAATGAGTTCACTATCTTAGACTAATGTTAATCTATATAAATATATAATTATATATATATAAGAGCAAAATCATCATTTTTTCTTGAGTCGAAATTCTTCCGAAAAAATTTGGGGTACTCAATGACGCGCGCCAAGTACGATAAAAAAATTTTTTTTTATCTTTTAATTTTCAACAAATTTTTTTTCAATTTTTTTTCAATTTTTTTAACATTATGACGGTTTCTTGGTATTTTTTTGTATTTCACATCTTTTTGTAGGGAATGAAATTTATTAAAACGAGCCTAATTTTTTTTGTAAAGTGCAAATGTTATTGAGATGAGTTTTATGAACGTGGACTTGGCGCAATTTTTTACAGTGAAACTGTTTTTGTTCAGATCACTATAAATGTTCAATGAGCAGGTTAGTTTAACTTATTATTCTAAAAACATTTTTCAACGCTCTCCTAATTTTTTTTCCAATTCTGTCGAGAGAATTTTTTAATATAATATAAAATAGTTGGAGAGACCGGACATTTTACATACTTTAAATGGAACATGACCCTCAAAATCGCCAACTTTGACTTTAAATATCTCATGCCGGAACTACCTTAAGACGAAAACAAATCGTAATTTTTAACAGTCAGAAGTTTGAGGCTTGATATCTTTGAAACGGCTTGACTTACGCAAAATTTCAATCAGACCTTTTTTGTTGAGCATTCAATTGTCCGTAAGAAAAAGGTTTAGTTTTACCTACAAAGTAGCTCGTTGTCACGTTACAAAATTCCAAACTTTAAAAGAATATTTTTCTATGTTATTTAAATGGGAAATAGAAATTACTTGACGCCACCTCTAAATATTAATATTAAGAGCTCATATTTTCAGAGGATCTTTTTTTAGAGACACTCTGACGATTTCTCAATGTTCGTTAAAAAAAAAAAAATATTCGATTTTTTTGATACATTAAATTTCGTAAAAATTTGAATTGATTCGGTTCGCTAGATTTTGAGAAATCTCAAAAATAAAATTTTCAAAAAATCCTTTTTTCGGAATAACTTGTAACGGCTTCATTTATCAACTCCAAAAACTAATCCGGTCTTGAGTTTGAAAAACCACGTCGGTTGCCACCAGTCCCGTCAAAATCGGTTGATTTGTTCAAGAGTTATCAAAAACGAAAAATTTCGAAAAAAGTGTTTTTTTCACATAACTTTGACATTACTCTTTGGATCGTTTTTGATGAAATAGAATAATTATTAGAGCCCATAAAGTCACGTCGATCGCCACCAAGAACGTGAAAATCGGTTAATTGGTTCGTGAGTTATCGTTGTCGAAAAAATTCGGAAAAAGTGAATTTTTCAAATTTCTCTAAGATTTTCAGTTCGATCAGTTTGTGTTTAAAAGTATATTATAGAATTGGAAAAACTGTGTGAAATACTTCCAACCGCGTAAAAATCAGTTCATTCATTCAGAAATTATTGCAGTTTGAAAATTCAAAAAATACTGTTTTATTAAACTTTTACCAGACTTTTAAGCTCGAAGAGCTCAAAAGCTTAGAACAGCTAACTCTATGAGCTCAGAGAGCTCGAAATAACATACAAATTATATTTTGGAGCTCGAAGAGCTCAAAAACGTCATAAGACCAATTTTAAGTGCTTAGATATGGAATTAGCGGGAAGTTGCAGGGATGGCCTTTAGGGTCAACCGTTTTCCAGATTTTTTTTTTTATTTCTTCTTTTCACATGTTTGCTTTCAAATGATGGGTGGTTGTTCTGAATTGCAGCTAGATGGAATTTGCAACTATTCATGGGTCTTAACCCTTAACTAGCTCAAAATGAGACTCATCAATTATAATTACCCGGAATAGCTCGGCTGCCCAGTTTTAAAACACAGTAACTGCAAAATTTTTATACCTGATTTTTTTTTAGTATTGCTGCATTTTTTATAACTTTTAGACCTTAATTTAAAGTATTTTTTCTTAAAAATATTTATATTAAAGTATTTTCTATTCATAAATCAAATTTTTCATCAATTTGGCGGGTAAACTTTTTTTTAATAAGAAAAATTGGAAAAAATTTTGAAATGTTAGTTACTGTGTTTTGAAATTGGGCAGCCGAGCTTTACAAATAATGACTAATACTAAAACTTAGCCTAATATTCGACTGTTCAGTATTGGTCCTGGTGTTCTGGACTGCTTGGCTTGGCTTAGTCCGAGACACTTTTGAACCTGGTAATATAGCTCCTGAATGTGAGACTCGCCGACGCTTTATTGAAGGAATTAATTGAAGAAGGGTGGAAGCGCTTGACTGCACGCTTTTTGCACGATGTCAACATCTTGACAGCTTATAAAATTTTTCTCCTTTTATTCATCCACTTCGTCGTAATCCGGGTTGAATAACTACAACTATATATTATCTGTCATCAGTATTTATATAAAATTACAAATTCTAGTCCGAATTTGTCGATAGAGAAGCAGAATCTAGAAATTTAGGCCAAGGAATAAAATTAAATAAAAAAAAACCCCCAATTTGAATCTTAAATTTTATTTACATCTTTATAAAAATTAATTTACACTCATCAATAATAAACAAAAAAAAATTAAGTATATTTACATTCAAATTTTTTTGTTTATTTACATCTAAAGCGGTAACTGAAGATTATTTGGTGTGACAGAGCAATAAAAAAAAATATATATATATATATATATATATATATATACACATATATTTCCATTAATGCATTTTTCAAAAACTCCACTATATAAAATATTATTTACAATAGTTAATTACAATAAATGAATTATTAACCACTAATAACGACTTTGGATCAATAAATCACAGCGCTACGTCAAACTCACTCATTATTACCAATAAATATCATCAACAACGCTATCAGACATCAAAGTAAGACTTCTCTCTTCGTGCATGCCTTTCGCGTAATTAACCTGCTGAGAAACCCTCTTAGCAATTTCATCAGTGTCGCACCTAACCCTCGGTCTCCTGAGAACTTCAGGAGCATCAAAACTCATCCCGGAGTCAATCCTAGACGTCAATTCAATATAATAAACAACACTGCCATTGCTTTCAATTTTCTGGGTCTCCTGACACTGAATCAAATCCGCGAGTCCAACTTCAGTGACAACAGTCTTGCTGCTGCCACAAATGATTCTCACGCGTTCATTCGATACCAGGATTCTCAAATTTTCCTGACCAGCACACAGATTCTCCCAAGCAACGAACAATTCATTGTAATTCCTCTCGTTGATATTATACAAGAATTCCTGGCCCTCTGCTTGCTGGGCATTATAGGGCGGCAGCAGCCCCGCAGGTCCACTGGCGACTCTCGGTAACCTTTGTCTCTTAGGAATAGTCCTGTGAGCACTTCTGCTAGACTCTCTGATCGCCGTAGCAGCTTCAGTAGCAAAATCTAAAACACCAACAACAGGCTTAGTAAAAGTTCCCACAATGCCTTTCCCAAATCCGGCAATGAATCCGGGGAATCCCTCACTAGCAGCGCCATCATACGTCTGTCTTACGACACTAGTTAACCCACCCAGCATTCCAAAGCCCAGGCCTTTCAAACCCGCGACAAAATGATCGCCACTGTGGACAGTCTGCGACCGGATTCGCTGTCTAGTTTCTTCATGACTCTCGTCCATGGTCACGCGGCCAAGACCGTCAGACAAGGACTCGGATAGCTTCGCAGTAGAGTTTGATAATCCGTGGGTGACATTTTTAATCAGCGTTTTGACGTTCCCTTCGCGAATAAACCCGGACATTCCTTCGGAGATGTCGTTGACGAAGCCCAGAGGGTTGCCCAGGAAATCAACGCTGCCGAGGATCACCGCTGCTTGCCATTTCAGCTCATCTTTGTAGTGTTTTATTATGGAATGAATGAGAAACTGGCTGCTTTCAAAAGGATGTTTCTTGATGAAGGGCTCAAGTTCAATAGAAGCGTCTTCGAATTTTATAAGAGTGAGTCCTAGCTTGCGCTTTATCGACTGCAAAGTCCTTGGTAGCTTGGTGGTGGTCAGAACGCTTAGTTTCACCAGACTGGGTACTAGTTTTAAAAGTCCGAAGTAATATCTCTTCGCGTGAGCTGCAGATACTTCGGAGATAAATCTTTGAGCCTTGAAATCGTTCTCGTCGACGGGAGCCTCCAGGTCAGAGCGATTGGTGCCTAGGAAGGCGGCTAGCTTCAGGATTAATCTTTCTTCCAGATGAACGCAGAGAGGTCTAATTGTCACGATCAGGTGCTTGTAGATTTCCGCGTTTTGGTTCTTGGAGGGAAGTTTCTCAAGAGAGATTTCGATGGCAGGTCGCTCGGCAGACTCAGGTCGACTTGAGCGAGAGATGTAGAGGACTGAGGTGCATTGGGCCTCGAAGAGCTGGTTGTCAATCTGCAGGTCTGAGATCGTGAGATTGAGGGTCGAGTTTAAGGGAACTTGAAGGAGTTCGAAGGAAATTCCGGCTATGCGGGCGAAAAGAAGTTCCTCTACAGGACGACGAGAAACTACGGAGAGACCTAGACCTGAGGGGAGACTGACTGTTAATTGGAACTCTGATGATGTTCGGTCGGCCTCGAGCTGGGTTGGTCGCTGTGCTACTGCGATGTGAGACCAGTCTCTTTCTTCAAGGAGTGCGAAGGTCTTTTTCTGGAAATTTTATTCAGGAAATAATATTTAAAATTGTTATAAATTAGAGGAAATTTGGAGTAGATTTACTTACACGTTCTTTAATGTCTAGGATTTGGAGAACGCGCGTTGGGCCATCGGTCGTGACACGCACGGATAGAAATCCGGAACCAGGGCGCAGTCGTTGTCTGCCGACGCGTTGCTCGATTGGTGGGGGATTGCAGTGGGTCTGAGGTCCCAGTACGGCTTCACTCCCTAGGTAAGAGAAGATGAGTTTGATTTAATAAGTAGATTTGGTGATATGGATAGTGAACTGCATGATTATCGCAATAAGCGGTGATGTATTGCGGTACGGAGATCATAAGGGCGCACTGATTTACTGCTCAAAAGAGCAATAAATTCATTTCGCGTTTCAGATGCCATAAGGGCATATACCGGCAAAAGGTCCTGGTGAAAAGCCATAAGGGCATATAAAAGATTTTTTTTCGGGAATCGATGTATTTTCTTCCGAAATGTGCAGAAATGCAAAAAAATATTTTCACCTCATTTCAGCAACTATTTTTATTATTATAGTCTTGTTAGTTCACGGAATCAAGATATTTTGCATACTATTGTCAAGATAATTTAATGGAGATTAATTTGACACTTTCCAAAAATTGATTTAGTACAATAGAAATTGAAAAAAACATAAGAAAATATACGTCAAAAACTTTTCCTGTCCGTCATGTATGAAACTCTGAAAACACTGTGACTTGCAAAAAAATGGATTAATTGAGTTAAATTTTTTTTTTTTAAATTCTTTGAGAGAATTATAGGTCACGGAATATGAATGGCTAAGTAATTCAATGTCAATTATAAGTATACAATGAATAAATTAAAACAAAAACCAGAAGATCTATATATATTGTGAACATTTATCCCACTAGAGGCGCTTGCGCATTATCGTGCTATTTTAGCTGTTTTATAAAGTTTTTTTCAAATTCTTTATTTTATTAATATTTCACAATTGAATGAGCATTATGAGTCGTGCACTTTTGGATTTTCCAAACTTTTTTTTTACAATAGAGAGACGATACACTAATTATTTATTTATTATTTCAATGCATGCTCATTGAGCATTTTCATTTTGCTTGCATCTCAAATTATACATGTTTTACATATATCATGATATAAATTTTAGCTCTTCTGCTTAAAATACTTTTTACTTAAGGTTAGTTGTCATGGTACAATACTGTCAAAAAATTAGAGATTATACGCGCCGTAAAAGTATATGAGCTTGTAGCTTAGTAATCCATAATTTTTACGCAAGACTGTACCCGTGGAGACGCAATCCAAAAATTGTTTCTGTCCGACTCCGTAGATCTATACTTTTTCATAAATTGTTGAACTTTAATCCGTTATTTATAAATAATTAGACGGTCAAAAATTTTAAACTCACAACAAATACATTAAAAGACGGTCAGTTTTTTGACAGTTAATTTTTTTTCTCATAACTAAGAAACTGGTACAAAACTGCAGAGAGCATATGCGATCAATGTTAAATACCCAATTTTTAATTGAATTCATCTCGGGTTATAGGTGGTCAATCGACTTCAAATTTTGAGGGTAATTGTATCAACATGTCCTTAACAAGTGTACGAAAATTTAGAATTTTCTGCCTTAACCACGACAACTACCTTAAATTATTCTTACAAAGAAAGGTTCCTAAATGTCTGCCTCCAATTTTGATGCCGCTGAAATATGTTATTCTAGATCATAACTCACTTAGTCGTTTGCAAAAATATTGACTACAAGTATATGAAACCTGGAATTGACCCTCTAAGGGGGTCAACTTTGGGGGTTGGTTTTACCCCCTAAAAATGTTTTTCTGCCGATAAAAAAAATACGTGTTGCTTAGAATTCGACGTAGAATAACATATTTCAGCAGCATCAAAATCGGAAGCAGGCACTTAGGAACCTTTCTCTGAAATAATAATTTAAGTAAAAAGTATTTTAAGCAGAAGAGCTAAAATTTATATTATGATTAGTGATGTGAAGCAAAGCATGTGCTCGTTAAATGCTCGTCAATTGCTCGTCATTTGACGTCAATTGACCAACTGAAAAAAAATGATCGCCGGTCATTTTTCGAATTAAATGACGATTTAATTTAAAAGCTAAATAAAAAAATGGTGTGTGTACTTATGTACACGCGTCAGAAGTTATACTTCTTTGGCATATAATAAAAAAAATTTTAAAGAAAAAAAAATTCAAAAATTATCAAAGAAAAATGTTAAAAACAATCAAATAGGTTTTATTATAGTAAAAATTTAGCTATACCGTATAAACATAAAATCATTAATTATCATATGAATTTAATTCATTATTATTAAAGATTTTTCTAAATAAACTTATTTTGGAGCTTCAAAGTATCAATAGTTTACAATCGATAATTATAAAATATTTTAATTATGAAAATTAAGTTAACTGACATAAAAATTTTGAGAATTTTTTTTTTATTGAAAAAATAATTTAAAAAAATAAAAAAAAATTTTCACTTGTAAAAAACTTCAAGAACTGTAAGTGCAATTTTTAAAAAGTATTTTTTTGTTCTAATTTAATTATTAAAGATAAAATAAAAAAATTAAAAACGTCGGCTAACTTTAGTATCATTAATTATTTATTTAAAATATATTATGTTTCTTATAAAATAATTCATTATTTATTATTTAACCTCATTTTTTCATCATTTTTTCATAACGCGCCTAAAGAAGTATAACTTCAATAAATATTATAAATATAAATACACAGTGAACAGAGGCGGCGTGCGTACCAACATGCGCCACTAACAGAGATTCCATTTCTGTTTTATTGGTAGCACTTTTTCCTCAACTTAATGAGCGATTTAGTGGGCAACTTCATTCTGTTAATTTTGTATCACGGTGCGCGCGCATCGTAAAATTTCACCCTCATCAATTTTTCATAACGCGCCTAAAGAAGTATAACTTCAAAAAATTTTTAAACTTGACCAAAAAATGACCGAAAAATTTTTGACGGTCATTTTCCATCTAAGTAGTTGAGCAAGCCAGATTTGTTTACTACCGTCAGAATTTTTAGATAAATTTTGTGTCTGCATTTATAGATATAGTGATTGATTTTAACAAATAATCTGTAGAATCAATTTCAGCAAACAAATTTTACCGGATTTTTAAGTCCAAAAAATTGACCAAAAAATGACCGAAAAATTTTTGACGGTCATTTTCCATCTAAGTAGTTGAGCAAACCAAATTTGGTTATTACCGTCAGAATTTTCAGACAAATTTTGTTTTAAATATTTAAAATATTGAGATTGCATCTGAAATAGATTAGTTTGTTTTTTTTTTTTAAGAGAAATTTTAGTAAAAAGAAAAAAAAATGCTCCATGCTAATTATGATATATGTAAAACATGGGTAATTTGAGATGTAAGCAAAATGCAAATGCTCAATTAGCATTGAAATAAATAAATAATTAGTGTATCGTATCTTCATTATAAAAAGTTATGGTATGATGTGTTTATGAATGATCTTATCGTTAACAAGGCATATTACCTCAAAAAAAAAAAATTAACCAACTATTAATAAATATTTCCTATTTTTCCATACGCTCTTATGTCTTTTCAAAGATATCTTTTGTAAATATACGTCCTTATGACATCTGTATCGCGATATCAAATGACAATACAAGTGAGTGGGTATCAGGATTGTATTTGGTTCAAATATTAAGTGTCAGGATTGTGTTAATATTAATTAATAAATTAAAAAAATTAATATATAATATTTAATCCGTGAAATTGTTACTTAATACGTACACATTTGCCAACGGGCAACACTGCCGCCTGTAAAAATTTATCGTATATTTTCTCTTTGCAATCTATTAATTAATACAACAATAAAAATGAATATAAATGTTTGTTTAAGCAACTAAGCCAACACGATTCAAATTTCATAATTATTTCCAACTGATTAAAATCATTTTTAAAAAATAATGATGAATTTAAAAAATTACCTTCGTATAAGCCCATAAAACCGTCTTTAGATTGCACACACATATTTTTGTGAGCACAACAAAGACGTCCGTCGTCGGTAAACCTCCAAGTTTGCGTTGATCTGCGTCGAGGGTCTGGTCTCCGGAGGGCAAGTGCGCAATAATTGAATGGTTGAGGTGCTGGACCTGCTATGTCCAGGACTAGGACAGTGTCTGGAGTTCTTGAATGTTTATCACGCGGAGGACTAGAACCTGCAGTATTTTATTTATTAAAATTATAAATCATAACACTTTTAAATAATTATAGCAATAAATAAAATATAAAAAATGAAATTCAACTACCTTCATGTTGAAGTTGGCCATCACCAGTCATTCTCCATAACTGTGATCTAGCTCCATACTGCTTTCGCCTCAGGGCAACCCAACCCCCAGGTCCAGCTTCCAGAACCAGTCTCTGGGTTTCTACGTCCAATGGATCTAGTCCATTTTCTCCTGTTCCCAGATCTCCGTCTATTTTAAACGTTCCTGCAATAAAATCTTTTGTAATTTTTGACTTCCAATTTATATGCATTATGATAATAAACTGCAATCACTATGTGACAGCCAAGAATTACGAATTATTAATAAAATAATTTTAACTTGACAATATTTTTAATCACAATATACAAATTGGGTACTTTTAAATTAAACATTGAAAATACCAAATAATTATTGAGAGTATCTTTGTGGATTACTACGACAAAAATTACACGTACAAATTAGACAGTATTGAGAGTGGAAGTAAGATAATTACTAATGAGACTGAAGAGACTACAAAAAGCGGTACAAATTTGTCCAGTCCTAGTTTCCGAATTATTCGTCCGAAATCAGTACCTGACACGGATTACATCCTTATTATGATGCTGGTGTTTTCCGTAATCGGTACCTTTGTAGAATATTTACGAATATGTTTCATAAATACTCAGGTACGATCTTTTATTAATTATCAATTATTAATTTTGTTTATTTTTATTTTTCTCCAGGATATCTTGCCATTAACAAAATTTTTTATTGAAGTTCTTTTAAGTTTGTCAACTTTTCCGGTTTTATATTTAGATGACGCATTTACTCTAGTGAAGATTCAGGATTATCGAGTTTTAATTAAAGATTTTATTGGAGACCATAAAAAAGTTGACATTTAACATTTTATTTTTATACTTTGGTTGAAAATAAACTAATTTTTATAAAAACGTCCATTTACTTTCGTGTTAAGATTTTTTTAATGATTGAGAGCCTGTTGACTGATAACTCAAAGGGTTATACCTAGTTAAAATATTATAAAAATTGATTTTTTTTATATTTTTAGAATTTACTTATATTTGAGTATATTTTCTGAAAATTTCAATTCGATCTGACAAATATTCTCGAAGATAAATGCATTTTCGTAAGGATGTCTCCGGGCGTTCGAAAGTAGACGGGATGTATAAAAACGTGTTTTTCTCCTAACGATGTTTTCAAAGTCGGTGAGCACGATTTCTCCAAAACGGCTGGACCGATCGCTTTCAAATTTTTACACAATCTTCTTAGACATACTCCCCAAGTATTAATCGAAGGAATAAGATCTCTGACAACTATTTCAATTTTTTAGACTATTTGAAGTGGGAAATTTTTTCAAAAACCGCAACTTTTTTTCTGAGAAGCTGCCATTTTGTCAAAAATTAAAATTTTGACTATTGCATCAATTAATAACTACATTAATCTATATACTAAATAAATTGTTTGGAATTTTCCATTTGATATAATCCAAACCAGAGATATCTTGCTCACCGCCGGACACCTTTTTAAAAATTTTTCTTATCTTCTTATTTCTATAGATTATGAATGAAATAAATTACTAAGTAAATTACCAGTAAATGCGATGTAAATAAAATTTTCATAAGTCAGTCCCCGATTTTCTCCCAGAACATTGAGATCATACGAAGCAGTCACACCTCCTGGTGCAGTTACAATTAAATTAGCCGTTTGAGTCGGCTCATCAAGAGCATATGGTACCGATGAATGAGGTCTTACTGTCCACTGTAAATTATCCAAGACATCAGCCTGAAAAATTTAAACAATTATCATTTTTATTTTTATTAATTGATTTGTTAATTCCGGCACACTGAGAAAAAAAAGTACTTCTCTTGAAAAAATTTTCTTGTCACAAGAATATATATTCTTGATAATTTTCAAGAATATATTTTCTTGACTCAAGAATTGATCGAATTGTTTTTTAAATTGTAAAAAAACCAAAATTTATTTTAAACGATTCTTGAACCAACAAAATTTTTTCTGAACAAAAAATTTTTTTTTCTCAGTGCATAACATCGATACTATCATTCCAATACGTCGTATCTCACAAAATTTGAAATTGATTTATTTTTTTTTTAATTAAAATCAACAATATTATAAAAACCATATTTAAAATTTAAAGGCCAAATAGTTTAATAACTATTTTTAAATAAATATTTTCATCCGTTGAATCCCATTTAATCAATGTTAAATATTAACCATTTTTACTGTCTACTGTTATGTACAATTTTCTAAATGTGGGATACGACGTATTAGAATGGCAGTATCAATATATAGAGGTGTAAAGCTACATAGAACCAGAATATTATTCCAAAGATAAATATATAAAATACATAATATAAAATACAAAGATTAACAATAATAATGAAATAAGTTACCAAGAAAGAGAAAATAAACTTATCTCATAAGTGACTAGTCGGTCTTAGAGCCTAATCAATATTTCAACTTCCTCTGGAGTAACTTTTGTGTACAATTTAATGTTTTTAAATTATTAGGCAGGAGGTTGAAATATTTTATTGCAATAAAATAAGCATTTTTAGTGGTAATAATCTTAATTAATTTTAAGTAGAGATAACGACTTAGTTCTAGTTTAAAGTTTCTTCTTACAATATTGTACTTTACACTCTTTATGGTAATGGGTTAGTTATATTTTTACATAAAATTAAGATGGATCAAATAAATATATTTAAAATTTTTAATCAAAATCAATTTAGTTATTTTCACTTACTTGATTAATAGTCAATGGAACTTCCGAAAAATTGTCAACTCTGATCGGTGGAGGCATAGTATTAGCATCAGTGAAAACAATAAAGTAAGTACTCTCCTGCAGAACAACATCAACCCTCAGGAAATGCATTTTCCCTCCACTATCTCTGATATTAATCGTCAGAGAATGATTTCCATCAATGATAATCCCACCTGACCACATACAGTTGGGCACATCAATGACCCTGACACAGAGAAGCTGGTCTTTGTCCAATCTTGGCCAGTGAAAAGGCATGTGACAATCCGGCATAGCAGTAATGTAAGTAGCTTGAGCGTCTGGATGACTCACAGTGGTGGTAAAACATCTCTGGGCCAGTTCCAGGGTGCACGATGACCTATTGTGGAGTTGGTACCTTGGAGATAGTGTCACCACAGTCGTAGCTCGGTATCGTCCTCTGGCAGATCGCGTTGTCACACCGATCAAGTACACAATGTCTGGTCTTCCGTCTCTCAGAGTGATTCTCAGCCGGTGGACCTGCACTCCTGGTTGAAGATGGAACGGTTGTGACCACTGAGCGATTCCTTGTACGTGGACATTACTTCCCACTCGCACTGACAATGTACGGCTCGCTTCTTCGTCGCTGAAGGAAAATAACAGAGGAGCGACCATCCTGGCGCGTTCGTGTTCTTCGAACTGTCCAGCAGCTTCTGTTCCGACGCCTTCTTGTCGGAATACTAGAGGTAAACCTGTCTTGTTGATGATCCAGTAGGGTGTTGTGATGTTTATTCGTATACCCAGGCCTTTTTCTACGACTACTGAAGCGTATAAAAATAATATTCTGCCTTTCGCATCTGTTAGCTTCATTCTGGAAACGTACGATCCGGATATTTGCCCGAGAATTAATGCTCCTGGTCCTGAATATCCGTCGAGCTGAAATACTATTTCTAGCTGTTCTTCCTATAAATTGAGATCTGGTTATTTAATTGAAGAATTTAAATTTTGAAGGGTTTTATGCATTTAGGATTTATAAATAAGCGATTTTTATATCATTTTAATACATAGGGTAAAGGAACCTAATATTGACCAGGCAGCACAACAATTTGATTAAAAAAAATCTAGCAATTTAATTTTATATTCAGTACATAATTATAAATTTTTAATTATACTTAAAATAAAAATTTGCGCATGCACATAAATATATGCAGTTATATTAATAAAAAAAAAAAAATAAGTTTGAGTACAAATATCAGAAAGTTATGAAAATTAGTGATTAAAACTTCACCGTGTTTGATAAGTACATTTATGATTAATTTATATAAAACTAGCTGTTACTCGCCCGCTCCACTGGGCGCTTTATAGAATTGCATTTTTAGATCTAAACTTGAAATTTAATTAGAGTATTGTTTTGACTTGAACAGATTCCCAATTCTATCGAATTGGCATGCACCTTTTATCCATGTAATTATTCTAATTAATATTCATTGTAACTTTCAATGTGCAATCATTATAACATTCCCATGTCTTTCTTACAAAAATGAATAATAATTGATATGAAAAAAAAAAAATTTGTAATAAGCATTAAAAGTTTCAGTTAAAAAAATTGCAGGTCTCATAAGTGAAGAAATCTACCTAATATATGAACATAACAATAGAATTAAAAAATCTATTTTAAACAAATGATAATCGAATAGAATAAATTTAGTTACAATAAAAATTGATTATTTCTAAGTCAAAAAAATATAGGTTCCGGATAAGTAATCACCAACATATCATATATTAAAACCTTCTCCGAAACATGATGCATCTTATGATATAATTATTATTCCGATCAGTTCAGTAGTTTTCGCAGTATAGCCAAACAAAAAAACTGATTCTTTATTTATTAGTAAGATAAAAGCCCCAATAGATGATCATATACAGGTACATGATCATCTATTGGGGCTTTTACCTTATAGATTAAATACTTTATAATCAATAAATAAATATTTGTCAAAAAAAAATTGAATATCAAAGATTAATTATCAATAATTTTTGTCAGAAAAAGCATGTTTATAATTGAAATAATACTCTGGTCAACAATTGGTGCTGTAACTTATCAAATGTACCTAATATTAGTATGGCTTCGGTCATTGATTTCAATATGAGTACGGATGATAATATTGTATCAGAATCCAGAACAATTAACAACAATACTGAAATTATTAACATGTCAATGAATAGATTACCTAATGTCGAAACTATTATAAACTAAAAATAAAAATTGTTTATAAGTCTAGTAAGCATAATACTATTGGTCAGTATTTGGAAATTAGGCGGTGAATATTTAGTGCGTAATGATCAATATTTGGAGCAATTGGCTGTAGCATTAATTATTACAATTTAATGATTATTGTTATGTATTTTATAAACTAAAGTATTATATTTTGTAAGTTGAACCTTTAAAAAAAGCAGTGACCCCTCATAATTTCTCAGTTTATAATGTCTCGGCAATCATATTTCAGACCATGATATCTCGTCTGTGTTGGCTTATATTTTCGAGCATAAACACACCCAAAAATCATGTTAAAAGGGCGTAACACGATTACGCGCGTTTGTTGGCCTATTTTTGAGCATAAAATCAGCACACAAATTCAAAATTGCACCAAGACATTTACGTCTGAGGTGTTATTGTTGAGATATTATTGTCTCGAGACATTATTTCTGAGATGTAAAGAGGGGTAGCCAAAAAAAGCATAACACTCGTTTCAGCTCATAAACTCTTCCAATAAATTTACAAATAATATATTTATGTTCATTTTATCGAAACTGGTTAATATTTGGAGCCTTTACCCTATTTTATATTTTAATAGATAATTTAAGGGTAAAATTTTCATAGAAATTTATAATTTTTTTTTGTCAACCCGCTATTTTGTTAAAAATAGATATTTAAATAATTCCTTGAATTAATTACTAGATTATATCTTGTATTTACGGAAATTTTTTTTTAAATTCTAGCTGAAAGATGAGAAATACGAAGAAACTGAAGAGGGCCATTTTTATAAAAAATAAAATTTCCTACAAGAAAAGTTTCTCATAATTTTTTCGTATTTTCAATATTTAAAACAGAATTTAGATTTCAGACTTTCTAAACCCGTGATTTAATCGGAGACGATTGAAATCAAATTTCAAATTTAAATTCCAGTTAAATGATAAGACAGATAAAAATTGATAAAGACTTTTTTAGTAGAGACTTAAATTTTCTACAAAAAAAGTATCCTATGATTTTTTCAAATTATTAGTATTTGACCCATATTTTTAAGATTTGATTTTCGCATTGATTTTTCGACAAAGCCAGAATTGATGATTCCGAATGACTTTGATCATCCATTGACAGGACAGTTCCTTACCTTAATTCCATGTAAATCCGCAGTACTTCCCGGAGGAATCCTCCCACTTTCTCCAGCAACCTGATAGAGTAACTCATGCGGCAACAGATTAATACAAGTGACTGGCGGCAACAAAGTGATAGTGTGCGCAGGTAGAACAAAACTCGCAGCATCAGTCGGATAATTTTCCCGCCTGACCGCGACACACATCTTGAACAAATTATTCTGATTCGTCCGACAAGTAGTAATAGTCTCGACAATCTCCATGGGTTTCTTGGCCAGCGTCCAGTCTATAGACTCCATGCAGTACTGGAAAACTTGACTGGGGTGCTGAGGCTTCAAGCTCATCTGAACGTTGGTGTGCGTAATCGGTACCGAAATAATCGACTTAGCCGGTACCTGGAGAGTCTTTGCCCCAGTTAATGACCCATAACCATAACCGAGAGACTTCTCCAGCCGTATGTCAACATTGTATGCAATTTTATTGACAACCTGCAACGCAGACCGTACAGTTACAAGCTTCCTTGCAGACCCTTCAAGCTCAACCGTAAAAACAACTCTGGCTTTAGTCACAAAACTTTCAATGTGAGTCACCGCAGAATTGGCATGTCTGAAATAAACACCAACGCGATCAACAGTTACAGGTTCAACAGGTCGCCAGCCTTCAAGAAGCACCGCAACTTGATGGAGCCTTGCAATGTGAGTCGACTGATGCCGAAGTTTTCCACGTTCCTCAAAAGTAAAAGGAATTGTTTCCCCAGAAGCTACTTCAGTCCAAGTCCGGTCGCGCTGAATAAAGTCTTCAGAACTGAAACGCGCGAGTGAAACTTCAGCAGCGACTGCGATGAAAGTTTTGAACCACAACTTAGAACCTGTGTCATTCTTCAAAGCAAACGGAACAAAGGGAGATCTTCGTCGGTAGTTCTGGAGCTGGGGAACTTTTTGGTTCACGCTAGAGTAGTCTTGGGTCCAGTTGTCCTTGACTTGCTTCATAAGCTCGACGAATGTTGACGTTATGTTCACATTGACTGAGTCTTCAGAATCAACACGTACATGTAATCTTCGGGAATTCAAGGAATTGGTGACATTCTCCCACTGTACTGTAGCCTTCCAAGCTTCCAAAAAAGGCTCCCAACCGCTGAGCACTCGGTTGTAGTAATCAATCCCGAAAGTTGCTTTGACACAAGCTTGTCCATCAGGAACTTGCTTAAGAGAAAAGTCTAAAAGGACTAGTTCCACCAGAGGAACATCAGCATCTCGACAGTCATCAATTATGCAGATCCTCAGGCAACTGGAGTCGATTTCAATCACCTGGAACATTTTAGCATGATCACTAGGAGTCGCGTTCTGGGTCAACCAAAGCGCAGCGTCGTCTAACTGTCCATTGCAGACATCCAGTGCAGCTTCACAGTCAGTTTCTGCGAATCCTAAAGCCGAAAGTTTCATGATGTGACTCTTGGCGTTAGCTGGAGGTCCTTGAGACTGCTGCTTGGCCCAGAGTGTCTGCTTCGGCAAGGAACTGAGCATCCTGCTGAACATGGTCACGTCGTGGTAACTTAACTTGATACTTAGCGGCTGGAGTTGGATTTCCAAAGACTTTTCCTGGGTCAGCTCAAAATTAGCACCCACTGGGTCGATTATTGACAAGGCGGTCTCTTCTTCCATTCCTAGGATACAAGAATACAGTTCGCAGTGACTCAGACTGCAGGACAACGGCTTTTCATCTTCCTGAGGCAATGATCTGTAGGAGAGAATCGCAGTACACTTGAGAATCACCGCGTTGGTGTCCCAGAGTGAAGTGTCTTCGACAATCACCAGCTCAGAATCTGTAATATTGAGTTTTAATTCAAAAGGCGAAGTATTTGTCACACTGTCTTCAGTATCTACCACTGGAGCTGGACTAGGCTCAGGTTCCGTCGAATTCAGCACCAGAAAGTCTCTGACTGCTTCCCACCAGTCTAAAATCGCAGTTAGTCGCATACTATGAAGTAAAATCGTTGTTGCAGCGTTGTTCTTTCGTCTTCGATGATGAATTTCTGCTTGAACACGATCAGGGATTCCCGCAAAGTTCTTCAGCGGCTGGAGAATGCTGGTAAATACATTCGAGCGCTTGTTTACCGGCTCGTTTTGGAACCTTGTGTCGATAATAAGGATTTCTTGAGACACCAAGTCGATATCCTGAGACCCGTCGCTCAGAGAGTCTAAAGTCAACCTAGATTTGATAAAATTAACACACGCTAGAGCAGCGATTCCATGGTTCGGATGAAGCTTGACTGTTACGTTGACAATGTCCAGAATAATACAGCTGCGGGTCCAAACTTTCCCGGTTGTTGGTTCTTCAAAGTAGCTGCTGACATCTTGGAGATCATCTAGAAACATTCTGATATCGTCTAAATTCTCACCTATATTATAGGCAAGCAATCCTCGCACCAACATATACTGTGCTGGGTCCATCGCGCAGTTCATCGTCGACAACGTTCCGTGAATACTCAAGTCCGGAATCTCACGACTGACGTAAATGTCCAGATTCCGCTCGATCCTGAGACTCAGGTGACACTTGTCGGTCAACAACGAGGGACCGAGTCTGCTGACGTAGAACCCGCCGATCAGAGTCTGGTTGTCGGACTCAGCGTCGCTCTTCACCCTGGTAGCCGTGTACACGTCCATGTTCACCAGCTCCAAGGACATCACGTCCAGCAGACACTGGGAGTCTTCTTCAGAGATGTTGAAGGAGTTTGTAGCAGTCAGTTCTCCTAAATCAAGCACCAGGAGTTGAGAACTTCTGGAGCTGACCGGCAGGAGAATTATTGGAGCTCCGGCGTGGAGTTCTAAAGACAGGCGAGTTGAGCGTTGCTTTTGGATCACTACGACGTCTCCAGCGCGGAGGTTGTTCATTATGTCTCTGAGCTGGGAGAAGTGACGGAAGAAAGCTTGAAGCTCAGCGACAAATCTCTGGGTATGAACGTAGTGGACTGCCGACATCTGGAGCTTCAATTTAGCGTCATAGAGGAGTTTATGGGCGTCTTCGTAGCTGGAGTACTGGAAGTTCAAAGCTTTTCTTCCAGAAGACAAGAATCGCTCGCGGTAGAAGCGACCGTGGGGAGTCAGGTCCAGGAGAGACATCGAGCCCAAGGATCCAGAAACTTTGGTCTTGCCTGAAGCTTTTATTATCCTGGTACTGGCGTTGGAGATGTTGGCTTTCGCGATCTCACGATCGGTGCGGGTGAGAACTAGAGTTAGAGAGCGAACTTCAATGTCGACCTCGGATTTAAGGTCGAAAGTTTCTTGGACCTCGACCTGAGGTTGAGGAGCCTCGTGGATGGTAATGTGATGGCTGGGGTTGGTACCAATGCCGAAAAAGTCCAGGACAATCATCCAGGACTCGACGGAGACTATCAGGTCGAGACAGTTGAAGTCAATGCTGACAGTCTTGTGGCGAACTGGACGTGCTGGAGAGTCTGGATCCTCGGGGTGGATTTCTGTCATGGTTATGCTGATCAGGACTAGGTTTTCTTCGCAGGTCATTGCTCCCGGAGATGGTGGTGGAGTGTTTGGAGTGCCGACTAAAGATGACGCTTTTCTCCAATGCGCTGGTACGGTTCCGTACAAGGCGAAAGTTTCTAATCGGTCGGGAAGACTTCCGCGAGAGAAGTCACTTCGCCATTTTCGGCAATTGTACGCGAAGTCGGGGCAGGATTTAGAAACTCCTAAGGGTAATCTTGCGCGAGTGGGCGCTGATGATTGCATCATGCAGCGGTGTCTCGACCCAATTTGGCAGAGCAGGTCTTCCATTAGAAGCGATCTTAATGATACCTGGAATTATAAAAAATTTGCTGGTTTAACTTTAAAATAAATTTAAATAAAAAAAATTAATCATAGCAGCAACCTGCAGTTACTATGTGCTGAGATTTACGGATTATAAAAAAGAAAATTTTGGCTTAGTTATTTTTTTAAATTTATAATCTCAACATAGATAGTTTGGGTACTTTTTAATTAAATTATAAGAAAATAATAGTGCTATTACAAGATTAATTTCAAATAATTTAATGGACACGTGTGACGGAAAAAATTTATAAAACTAAGAAACTATTCAAAACTCCTTCAAAAACTTAGGGCCAGTTTTTCAATCCAGGATAAAATTTTATTCAATGATAAAATATGTCAATATATTATTATTCCATGTATACAAATATACTGGCAATAATAATTTTACCCTGGATAAAATTTTATTTTGGATTGAAAAACTGGACCTTAAGGTAGTTGTCATGGCACAATATTGTCAAAAAATTAGAGATTATACGCGCCGCAAAAGAATATGAGCTTGTAGCTAAGTAATATATAATTTTTACACGAATGTACCCGTGGAGACGCAACCTATACAATTGTTTCCGTCCTTCTCCATAGATATATACTTCTTCATAAATTGTTGAACTTCAATCCATTATTTATAAATATTAGGTGTTCAAATAAGTTTTAGGACACTAATGTTCGATTCCATAAATTTAATTCAAAGTTACTGCTCACATATGATATGGTGGCGCTAGTTATGTAATATCGGAGCATAATAGAACTTTAAACATAACCTCTAAATTTGTGAATAAAACATGCAAACTGATAAGCTATTTATTAGACACTGCATTCGCTATGAATTCCATCAAGGAAAAAGTGTCCGAAAAGCACGTGAATCTATCTGCTCTGTTCTCGGGGACAACATAGTGTCTAAAAGTACATGTGAGTATTGGTTTAAGCGATTTAAAGAAGGAGATTTCGACGTTACCGATCGTGAACGTACCGGAGCTCCTGTAAGGGTGTATGACCAAGAACTTCAAGCGTTGCTGGATGAAAACTCTTGTCAGACAGAAAAACAACTTGCAAAACAGCTTGGGGTAACTCAGCAAACTGTTTCCAATCGTTTAAAAGCGATGGGAAAGATTCGAAAAGGAACAAAATGGGTACCACACGATTTGACTCAAGAAAATAAAAATAGCCCTCTTGAAATCTGTTTAAGTCTTTATAACAAGCAACATAGAAAATCTTTTTTGTTGAAGATTGTGACTGGCGATGAAAAATGGATCAATTTTGAAAATCCAAAACGCAAATATCACTGGGATGACCCCGGCGAGCCAATACCGTTGATGGCAAAACGCGGTATTCACTGTAACAAAGTAATGCTGTGTATATGGTGGGACATGAAAGGTATACTCCATCATGAACTTCTTAAACCTGGCCAGACAATTACTGCCGATCGCTATCATCAATAATTGATACGACTAAACCAAGAAATTGAACGAAAACGTCCGTTTACTGGCAAAAGAAAACGTCCAGTAATACTGCTCCATGACAATGCCAGACCTCATGTTAGTAAACTGGTCAAGAATACGTTAATGACTCTTGGATGGGAGGTTATGCCGGCGTATTCACCGGACATTGCTCCAACCGATTTTCACTTGTTTCGGAAAATGCAAAACGAATTGTCTGATGTACGTTTCAAAAAATTTGAAGAAGTGCAAAAATGGGTCAAAGTCTTCCTCGCCTCGCTAGATGAAACTTTTTTTGCCGAAGGCATCCGTGAACTACCCCCATGAAAAAAAAATATAAATAATATATATTTCGAAATATATAAAAAATATATTTTAAATATATTTTAGATATATATATTCAAGATATATTTTAAAATGAATAAAACATGCATAGCTAAAAATATAAAAAAAATATATTTTGAATATATATTTTATGTATTTGAAATATATAAAATATATATGAAAATCGGCCAAAAATTAGTTATTAAAAATATATTTATTATAAATGTAAAGGGCAGTCATCATGCCATACATTGTAACAAATATAATAAATAATATATTTATTATACATATTTTTTATATATTTATATATTTTTAATATATTTAAAATATATTTTTTATATATTTCAAAATACATATTTTATATATTTTTTTTCATGGGGGTACCTAACAGATGGCTCAAGGTTATACAAAATGATGGAGATTATTTTGATGAATGAACGAGTTTTATTTATTTTTTAAATAAAGTATGAATTTTTTAAAAAGTATCCTAAAACTTATTTGTACACCTAATAATTAGACAGTCAAAAATTTTTTTTTAAACTCACAACAAATACATTAAAAGACTGTCAGTTTTTTCAAAGTTTCTGACAGTTAGTTTTTTTTATAACTAAGAAACTGGTACAGAACTGCAGAGAGCGCATGCAATCAATTTTAAATATCCAATTTCTAATTGAATTCATCTCGGGCTATAGGTGGTCAATCGATTTCAAATTATAAGGGTAATTGTATAATCATGTCTTCAATAAGTATACAAAAATTTAGAATTTTCTGACGGTATGCTTTAACCACGACAACTACCTTAACATTGAAAATTGACTATCACTGAAAAATATATAAAACCGTGAAATGGCATAAATTCTTATCAAGACCTTTCTGATGATGCCAAATTAAACTATAAAAATTCTTTTAAAAATAATAATATGCTCGTCACAAAATTTTCTTCCCTCTCTCAATTATTTAATTCATAAATGACTATCGCTGAAAAAAATATCCAAACCAATTTACGATAAAGATAAACTCATTAAAAAAATTTTCTTAGCCTCTTAATAATATAAATTAATTTTTGACATAAAACCACATTGACATGTACACAACAAAATAAAAAAATAATGTTTGTTGCGAAATTCGAACCTATTGATAAATATTTCAAAATTTATCATAATAAATTAACTATTGCAGAAAAAAAATATAAAACATTAAAAAGGCAAAAATTCAGGTCATTTAAAAAACTCATTTTATCATGTAAATACACTGGAGACAAAATTTTCCTTATTCTTTTAATTATATAGATTACTTGACCAATAAACTACTAGTTTAAATACTAGTTTAAATAGGTAAAACATAAAATTACCTGAGTAGTAGATTCATGTTTCGAAAGTTTCTCGTATTTAACCACAAACTCTTGCATCGAAAGTTCAACCAACGGCTGCTCTGAATGATCCTGCTTCAACTGTATGCAAAGTGTCGGCAACTCGAATAGAACTTTCAGTAATAATTCAAACGAAGACTCTTCAGTTTCCTTTCTCTCAGGCTGAATAACCTCTCTAGAAGGATGCGGGAACGAGAAAACTGCATGAACCGTGTCTAAAAGCTGCTCATACTGCGTCCTGGACAAAGAAACTTTGAGCGGAGTTGTAACAACTCCATGAACCTGAAAAACCGGGTCCAAGAAAGCAGCAACATCTTGATCAATGAAGAAACAGCTTCCATGCAGCGAAGTCGCCGCATTAACCTTCTCAATAGTTATCTTCAGCGACGTATCATGAAGAATAGGCCTTCCCGAGTCCTTGCAGCTGTAAGTGTCTTCTGCACGAGGTGGCAGAGCAGAGGTAGAATTTCCCACCCGGGAAGTCACGTCCAGAGAGTAGAGATTCATATCGCGGACTTCTAGACTTGCAGTTTGGTTTGCTGTCGGGTCAGATGACGGTTCATGCTGTAAAGACATAGTTCCTAAGTGAGCAACAAATACTTGGAGACTGTGAGATGCCCTAGGAATCACCAGGACAGGGCTGTCTAGGACAACATCAAGCTTCAGCTTTAAAACTGCCGGGTCGCTGTCAATGATTGACACACTGGGGAGTCTCTTTCTCTGAGGAACGCTCCAGTCTTCGGTCTGGACCAGTCCAATAGCCATGTCAGTAGCAGCAGCACCAATTGACCTCGCCAGGTTACTCATGTACTGTTTGAATTCGTCTGCGCAGGAACGAAGCTCGGAAATGAGATGTGGAGCGTGAGTGTACCAGACACTGCCAACTCGGATGGAGATGTCTATCTCCACTATCGGATTTTCTGAAGATGACAGATTCAAACTTGTACGACTGGCTGAAAATCGGAAAGCTTCGGGTTGATTCAATGAAAAATGCTCCAATGGAGCACTGGTATGTGCTGGGTCTGCTAGAGGATCACGACCTACGCTGATGATCCGCTGATGAGTCTTTCCAATTAGAGTTTGGTCGAGGACTTGCAGACCACCTAGAGATCCTGAGATTGAAGTGTTGCTGGATAAGGTCGCTTGGATACGAGCATCTGACATAGTCGCGGTTGCTATCTTTTGCCCGATCAGATGACTTTCATGCATTACTGCTCGGAGAAGCAGGACATTGAGACGGTGGAAGTCAAAGGTTATCTCGGTACGAGTTGAGCTGCCGGAAAGCGATTGGCTGACAACTGAATCCTGGCGAGTGATTTTCTTGCTTTGTTCTTTGGAGGGTAAGACACGGCGGATGAATCCCACTAGTTCGACAATTGTTTCTTGGTTCGCGATTATGTCGAGGTTGTTGAACTGGATGTTGGCTACTCGGAGGTTTTCTGGAGAATCTTCGATGAGGGTCAGCTCGATTACGATCAGTGCTTCGTTGTCCAGCGGCTCGATCCCGCTGAGGGAGTTGTTTCGTGGAGACATCAAGTTTTTTACGTCGTAGGCTAGGCTTGAAAGTGCTCGGGTTAAGGCGATTGGAGAGGTTAGGCGGCGGGAGAGACCTAGAAGAATGTGGTGATATTTAAAATTTGAAATTTTTATTTTGAAGTAGATTTATACTTAATATTATTAGAAATTGTTTTCTTTAATAAGAAATTCAGAATGTAGAAATTAAACCAATTTTATTTTTATACCTTTTTTAGTTAATCATACAATGTTTTGCATTGTTCTGAAATTATCAAGTACTTATGTGACAAAAAATTTGAATTAATTTTTATTATAATAATAATAAAAAAAAAAAAGAATTCAGAAATCAATAAATATATAAATATATTTTTAACTTAGTAACGTTTGTTCGATTTTTGTATATATGTCTTATATTTTAAATGCAATTTACATACATTAAAAATATATTATCATAGAGATATTTTTTACAAAAATTAAAATATATTAGTATTCTTTATATATGTATCCTAGGATACTTATGTTTCAACTGCATTACAATCATAGTTAAAATATATATGAAAATCGGCCAAAAATAAGCTATTAAAAATATAGGTATTACTATACATGTTCATATATTCTCAATATATGTTGTTTATAAATTTTTTTATTGCCTTATGGCCTCTGTTTTTTGATAAATATAATTACTAATCCTTTTTTTTGCCACATATACACCTAATGATGCCAAAATAATATTTCAAAACGTTAAATGATTAAATATAAAATATAAACATATGATTAATCTAGTCTCTACATCTTTGAATAAAATAAAAACACCAACTTACCTGGATCAGGTGACCCTGGAGAAACTGGTGACGTCGGAGAAGTAGGTTCCGAGTCTCTCAAGCTTCCCGATACACTATCCATACCCACATGTTTATGACTAGCAACCAGCAGTTCAAAGTCTGGGCCATACTCTTGCATTGCATCGACCAGAAGCAGTCCATGAACAGACAGCGAAACATTCATATCAGCCAGCCGCTTGCTCATCGCAGCTCTGACTCCAGATACTTGCAATTCCGCGACACTGCGTCCTCGACTCTGCAGCTCAAAAGTCATCTGGTCTATAATAAACTGGACCATCATGGCGTGTAACATAGTCTTATCACTCTCCTCCTTTTTCGGGCTCTCCGGTTCGCTCATCGTCAGTTCCGAGGGCTCCCAGAAGGTTGACAGTAACTGGTACATAGTTCTGATAGCTTCAACCTTCTGCTCGTTGACATGTACCACCAGCCTCGGAAGGTTCCCAGACACCGTCAGCGACGGATACTGCGGGTCCATCGTCGACACAACGCGCCTTTCAATCTGCAGAGAAATATTAAACCTCTCCAGCACGTGCAAAGTGCTCATGCCTCTCGTTCTCGCGTGTTTCCAATTGTCTTTCACCTTCCCCACGAGAATTTGCAGGTCTGAAAGGTCGATTGTATACTGGTCGTACAATTTATGGTGTAATGCAGTTTCTGAAATCATTTGGTATTCTGCTACGCTTCCGTTTTCTTGAGAACCTGGTGGTGTTGAACAAGGAGTCTGAAATCTCTCATCTTCGTCATCATCTTCTTCATTTTCTACTTTTTTCTCCGTCTTTATACTCAGACACTGCAAAAAAAAATATATATTATTAAAATTTTAATATTATAAAAAAATTAATTAACTAAACAATGATAGAAGAATTTATTAACTGTTAATAAATTCATTTATTAAAAAAAATTTGTTTTTTGATTTAATATAACTAATTAGTTCATTATTGAAAAAAATATTTTTCGGAAGAAAAGAACATCATTCGAAAATAATTAAGGGGAATAGCCACTGTGACGAATTGAAAAAATTTATTTATTACTTCAAATCACAATTCATACATTCAAAAATATGTGTACAAAATTTTAGATCAAAATTTCAAAAATTTTCGGAGTTATTTAGTGAGAGTAGATAGACCGATCGTTTTCGCTCAGCGCTCCGACGAAAATGTCGAATCCGCTGAAAAACGCTTTGAAACAGTCAATAAAAAAAAATTTTTAAAGTCATGGACACCACTAGAGATAAGGAGGAAGAAAGCTCTTATGGCCTCATGTGGAGATACGTAATTTTAGAGTAACGTAAAGTAAAATAGACTAACACTTTAAACGCTTTTTTCTCAAAACGTCTTTTTTCAAACTGATCGCATTGGTAGCTCAAACAAATATTAACCGACTATCAAAAAAAATTTTTTTTTTTTTTTTTTTATAATGGCTAAGGTTGCACAAAACTAATTTTTAAAATTTTAATTTTTAAGATTTTTTAAGACTGTTTGATCAAAAAAAAAAAAAAAAAATATGAAAACATTTTCAATCGGTCGCCAATTTCTTTTCAAATCAAAATAAAAAAATCGGCTACGTGAAATGATAACCACATTCGTACAGATTATAACGTAACTAAATTATTAAACTAAATAAATTCCAGAAAATTACCTATTTTTTGGGCCGTCACAGTGGCTATCTCTTTTTATAAATATTTATTAACAGTTAATAAGTTGTGTTAAATAAATGATATGTTTACTGTTAATAAATATTTATTAAATCATTTAATGTTAAAAAATTATTTATTAAAAATTAATAAAGCTTATTAAAAATGGAAAATTCCTTCTATCACTTACTTCATTATCCTCGTCACTATTCGGGGATCCAGGTCTCAAAACAACTTTCTTATCCCCAAAATTATTCGTCAAATGCAGTCTTCCAAAGTCCACAACAACAACAGCTGCCGTAGAGTCGCTAAATTTTTCCACCAGAAGAATCTGAGGTGCTGAAATATTGAACCTCAAATCCCAAGATGACCGGTACACAAAATCTCCTTCCAAAATCTGCTCCCAATTTTTAATCAACTGCCGTCGTGTTCTTCGTTTCATCGCCTGTAGCCTCTGAGTTGAAGAACTTTTATGTGGCTTGCTGATAAAATCCACCAGCCACTTAAAAGCCAAGGGATTATACACAATATCCAAAGACCTGGTAGTCAAATGCAACGAATGATCCATCGAAACATGCAGTGGCTTCTTCTCATAAATCAACTCAAACAATTGCTGGCTCGGGAGCTTCTCCGAGGAAGCTCTCAATCTTACCGACGATCCAGTAGTTTGAGGCTGGATCAGTATCGGGAACATTGAATTCTCCGTCAGAAAGTCATGTAGATACAGCGCTCCAAGACTGATAGAAAATTTATGAGACCCGGATCTTGGCCTCGACTCATAGCTCAGGTTAACGCGCTCGCACTGGAGTTCCATAATTATTTTAGTTTCTTTGGTTTTGCTTCCATCTGTACTTTTCTCTTTCTCAGAGCACAAGCTGATCGTTCCTTTGTTCAATGTAAAATTAAATAAACCGAAGACAGTATCACGTCTTAGAAGCGTGTTGTCATCAATAGTATCCGCAAGAACATCCAGCAGTTCTCCATCAAACGCCGAAGAATTTGCCGTCGTAGTCTGGTCGGGAGTTTTCGAGTGCCAGCCCCACCATTGTGGGAACCACTGGACCAAAATACCTCTCGCTTCAGGGTTAGATGAGGCTTCGACAGGCTTTGGACGAACTTGAGCCATCGCGAGTTCCCTGAGAACTCTAAGATCATCAAAACTTCGCTCAAACTCAAATTTATCCTTAAAAGCTTTGACATCTGGGGCTAGAATCATCGTGGGGGTGTCTAAAAGCTTCCTGATGGCTTCTACATAAGCGAGATTATCTCTACCTTGATCCAGGACATCTTGCCAAGTCATCCGGGGCTTCAAAGAGTCTTTTCCTAGATGACACCGAGCTGCGTACTTCCACCATTCTTTAGGACTGGTTCCAACAGGAACTGCCGGTCTGCAGCGACGTTGACGACGTCTGTGGTCGATATTTTCCAACCCCCGAACACACTGGACCATTTGTTCGTACTGGACGTCCGTAAGGGACAGTGGAACCTGATCCAGCTGGAGATTGACGACGATTCGCGGCTGCAAGACAGACCTGAGAGGTTTTTCCGAGCGGTCGCGCTTTACATGAGCTCGGGCGCTTACTGGAGATAGAACGAACCCAGCAGACTTGGTATCTGACATCACGACGGCCAGATCTCCAAGGGAGAGACTTCCAAAGACCTGTTCTAGAGTCAGCTTGTCCCAGTAGACTGACAGACCGTCCAGCTGCATCAATTTGAAGCTCGCGTCGTTCGAATTCCATGATGTTGAACCGGGAGTCCATGAAGCGTCGCAGCTTTGAGCTGATAGGGCTTTTATCGTGATTCCCAGGGCCACTGGGTGGCTGGGTCTGGTGATGTCTTCAAAGCGCAAATGGACGTCCTTTATGTTGAGCTGAAGGTTCTCTATTATGTTTGTCACCAGCGAGGTTCCGTAGTTCATCCAGGAACTGTAGCTGGTTGCGTAGTACCCGGCGTCTCGCTCATTGCTGGCTCGCCAGCGCGCTTCCAAAGCGTCCAGTCGGCTTTGTTTGTATTCTTGAAAAATTTGTTCCTCTGCTTCTTGGTCATAGTCGTCGAGGTTTATTGGAGAAGCTACCAAGTACAGTTGCTCAATTGCAATCACCCATGAAGCTGTTCTGATTTGACGGACTGGGATTTGCAAGCGAACTTTACCGATGAAGCCAGCTTTTATTTCTATAGGCAGGCCGATGTGGCGTAATGCTTCCTTCTTTAGAGGCAAGTTTTCTAACTCGACTTCACCTGTGGAATATTAAGTAGATTGAAGTGCGATATTATTATTCTAAGAGAGCTGTCTGTTGTTTTAATTTGAATATATTGAAAGAAAATTATTATTAAAAAAATAAAAAAAAATAATGTTGATTCATAATTAATTTTTTTTTAAAATAAACACGCTATTGAAGTTGATAACTATTAAAAATTTTTTATAGTTTTATAACAATTAAATTATTATGAAAAAAATTTACTAAAAAAATTCCACATGTAAAAATTTAAAAAAATTTTTAGAAGCACTTTTTTCAGTGTAATTTATTTGGTATAAAAATTAAAAAAATTAACAGTTGTCAGCTAACTTCAATATCATAATTAAATCAAATAAAAAAATTAAATGTCATTTTCTAGGAAATTAATTTTAGGGATGAAATCATCAGAATATTTAGCACAATTGGAACGAATTGAGTAAAATATAAATACTCAAAATAGCAGTCATCTGTCATCTGTCAAGTGTTTAGTTTTGAAATAGAATTGATTAAAAAAAAAAGTTATTGCAACTTTGATTATAAATTGAAAATTTTACAAATAATTTATATAAAAATTTCTCTAAAAATAAAAAATCGCTCATCTGCTGCTTCTGTCATTGATGCGTGACGTGCTTGGAGTAAAAGTACTTTTACTGATCACCGTTCTGTGAAATTGTTGGTTAAGGTGATAAAACTGAATTAAGTAAAATAAAATAATAAAATTAATAATTAAAGGACATAAAATATTGATTGTTAGTAAATAATAGTGATAGGTTACCTGACAGTAGAGCAATACTAAGTTGGTCAGTGTTTAAATTTTCAACATATTTTCCTAAATAATTATTCAGTACCCAGGCTACTAAGCCTTCTAACATGTTTAATATTATTAATTACTTGTTGTTTTTATAATTATTACAAGTTTTTTTCTTTATTTATTTAGTCATTTTTCTAGCGTCGAGGTTAGAAAACAGACACTTTAATTTTTCGAGCGATTGTGAAAGTTGTCAGCGGGTTCCAGATTATTTTTTATATACTTTGATAGTAAATAAACATCTTTTGCACGTTATTATGTTTAAATAATTCAGCGATTTAGTAATAACAGTCTTATAAATAAACATTGTTGGCTACTTAGATAAACTACAAAGTTCGATTATCTTTTTCTCTGCAATACTTCGGAGTTTCGAAACTATACGCGCGCGCAACTTAAAATGGCGGACTTAGTTTGCGCGGTAAATTTTAAATAAATATTGTCATGAAATAGTGACAGACACTTGAAAATTATTTTATTTTTCTTGAATTAATAAACTAGATCTAGAAAATTAGTTTTAAAAAATTGCATGTGTAATTTTTTAGAGTTTCTGAATATGTAATTTTTTGAATAAATTTTTCTTGCTATAATTTATTAATTAAAAAATTTATAAAAATTATCAGATGTCCCTCAATTTCAGTATCATCAACAATAAATTCATAAGTTATTTTTTTTTTAATTTTAATAAAATATAATTATTAATGTACAATTTTAAAAACATTTGTAATTTTTACAAAAAAAATTAAAATACTACACTTCTTAAAAATATATTCTCTATATATGTATATATATATATTTTTTTTTTTTGTTGATATATAAGTCTATGTTAAAGTTAGTGATAAGTAAAATAAAATTTAAACAAGACGAACTTAAGATTTAAACAAGACGAACTTCGCCATTTTTTTTGCTTGGAAAAATAACAAACAGCGACAGTTGAAATGCTGACAAAACACAACCGAGGAAATTTGGCAACTGGATGTAAAGGTCGTCTATAAGAGTTCCGTAGGCGAACCACTGGCATGAGACAACCAGAGATGATATTATCACAGGAAATGGCAGGCTATCAGCGCTTTTATGTTTTATGACATGAGCCTGTAACATTAATTTATTTTTTTTAAACTTACAAAATATTTCTCCAAACAGATTTTTGTCAGTATTTTGACCACTGAATCTTATCCAAATGATGAGTCAAATGATAAAACTGTTTACCAGCATGGTCAGAGGAGACGCAAAAAACAAAATCGTAAACCCACAGCTTAAAATTCCAACATGTTCTGTCGCTAGTGATTTATCTTCTTCAGCAATACTCCAGGAATAAACAATTGCGATAAACAATACTGCAGATAGAAATTGCCTTAATATTATTGTTTTTTTAATACAACACAGCGTATAAATTGCGATGTAACCCAGCTGTAATAATACTCCGAACAAGTTGACAATGATGATAAAAAAGTCGTTTATCATCCAGCCGTATCTTAACCAAAAGCTGCATCTGGAAATTGATTTATGTTTAATAATAATTACATTAAATAAATCAATTTTACTAAAATATATTTTTAAATTTTTAATTTACTTTTAAAATTTTAATTTTCATTTATTAAATTAGAACTAACAATTATTTTTTACAAATTGCACTTATAGTTTTTTAAGTTTTTTGCAAATGAAATTTTTTTTTAATTTTTTTCTAATATTATTCTCAATAAAAAAAATTCTAAAAATGTTTAGATGTCGGCTAATTTAATTTTCATAAATTTTGTTACTCTAAAAATATTAAATTTTATGGAAATAAAATTAGCAGACATCCAATTATTTTTTTTTTTTTAAATGATTGCAAAAAAATTTTTTTTTAATTCCACATCTAGAAAATTTGAAAAACTATAAATGCAACTTTTTAAAAATATTTTTTTAGTTATAATTTAATTATTTTTGTAAATTTTTTAACAAATAAATTACAATAAGAGAAATTAATTCAAAAAACTCCATCTTTAAAATTATAAATGGAATTTTTTAAAAATAATTTTTTTTGACCTAAATAGTTTATTATTCAAGAAAAATTAAAAATCTACCAACTTTAATATCATTAATAATTTTAGTATCATTAAATTTTTGTCATTAAAATCAATAAATTAAAAATACTTACGATATTAGACAGGTAACAAATGCAAATCCAGAAGTATCTCCAGTGGTGCCATTGATAATATATTTTCTACAAACTAATCTAAAAAAATAATAAATATGTCTATTAGTACTAAGTATAATTACTAAGTCATAATTAATAAAATAAATAAAAAATTACTAACGTGCCAGCCAGAAATTGTAATACTGTACATATAGATGCTGACGTTGCTAAAAAACCTGTAAACGCTTTTGAGAACATTTTCTATAACATGTTATTGCAAAAATTTTTTTTGTTTTATTGTAAACCACCTACGATTTTACTTAGCGCACCGGCTACCACAATCACATTTTTGATAGTCGATAACTCGCGGAGTTTTTATCAGCGAAAGTGAAAAAAAAATAAAATAAATATTATTATATTAATATTATGTTTAGCCGTAGTTTTGTCAAACTGACACTGGGGTCGCTGAATTCACTCCAACATGTCTCGTGGTGGACTTATTTATGTTTTGCAACGGACTTGTGTGAAAAATAATATTTACTTAGTATTATATTGTTGATATTTTATGATTACTGTGTTTTTATATTAAGTAAGAGGTAATTGTTGCCATGACGATTTATAACTGCTCTCTGTTTCTCTTTCGCTTGCCTTATCGACAATTTGTAAGTTGAAAAAAAAATATTTTTTATGAGAATATATGATATCATTTTGCTTGGTCGGTATTTTCAAGAGAATTTATTCGATTGATAATGAGGTTAGCTTGTCGGTAATGAAAGAAACAAAAAGCGGGAAATTATTTTATATTATAAATTTTGAAGTGTTAAAAAATAATTTTCAAAAGAAAAGTACCATTTATTATCAATTAATAAATATTTATTAACGGTGATTTAATATTTATTGCTAAAAGTGAAATTAAAATATAGGTATTTGACAATGTTTTTTTTATTTTTATAAAATAAATTATTTTTTAAAAGCTTGCACTTGTCATTTTTTTTTTCATTTCTAAATATGCTATTTTTTTTATTAAAAACATTATTGTTATAAAAATCAAAGAAATTGACAGTTATCAGTCAACCTCAGGATCATATTTATTGATAGTGAGTTAATTTTTTTTGAGTAAATATTTTTTGTATGACTTCAAAGTTAACATTCACTTGAAAATTTTTTAATTTTATTTGGAAAAATTAATTTAGCAGTTATTTATCAAATTTTAAGAATTTTTGTAACAAATAAATTTTGGACAAAAAAAAAAAAAAGAAATTAATTGACATGGGTTTTTCTCATTTTCTTGCCATAATTTATTTGTTACAAAAATTATAAAAAGTATCAAATATCTACCGAATTAATTTTCATATTTTTTGTTGAATGATACTGAAATCAAGAGATACCTGACAATTTTTTTTTAATTTTTACAGCAAATCAATTATAACAAAGTATTTTTGAAAATTTGCACTTTAAATTTTTATAAATTTCTACGTGGAACTTTTTTACTTCATTTTTTTCATGATGATATGATTGTTATAAAAATCTGAAAATTGTAAGAAATTGGTTAATTTCATTGTCATTTTGTTAACAGATAATGCTATAATTTTTTATAATAAAGATAGAATTCACTAATTATTTTTACCCCAAAAAAATTCTCTAATTAATTACAACTATATTTTTATTATTAATTTTATTTTCTATATTGTTTTATTCAAAAATTATTAATGATTCTGCTCCAATGCAATTATTTAATTTATTGAAGTTCTGAAATTATAAAAAGTGTCAGTTTAGTTTTTACACTCATTTTTAATTCAAGGGCCTAAACAAAGTTTCATTGACAATTAATAAACATTGATTAAATCATTTAATGTTAAAAAATAATTTCTTTACAGTTAATGAAGCTTAAATAAACAAATCCCTCTATCAGTGTGTAAATTCCAAAATTATTGATTTAAAAAAAAAAATTCAATTTTATCAAACAATTAATCAAGTTTTTTATTTCAGGTTAGAAAAATAACCACACTCAAAAATGCATCCGATAAACTTCACCCTAATGTAATTCTAACAGAAGAAAATAAGAAAGCGTGCATCTCAAGACTGAAACAACTGCGACCTATGAAGATAAAGGACAATGAAAAAAAAGCTGCTGTGCTGGTACCACTTTGTTTGTACAATAATGAATTAGGATTGTTGTACACCCTTAGATCATTTAAGCTGAGCACCAACAGAGGCCAGGTGTCGTTTCCTGGTGGAATACAGGATAGTGAAGACAAAAGCTACGAAGAAACCGCGGTCCGCGAAACCTGGGAAGAACTAAGACTTCCCAGAGATAAAGTAGAAATCTGGTCCCGAGGGAACTTCGTCGGCAGAAATGACGTCGATGTGATGCCGGTGGTTGGTTTTGTTGGAGAAATTGACCCCAAGAAATTGGATATCAACTCCGAAGAAGTTGACGAAGCTTTTGTGGTAAGTTTGAAGGACTTATGCGATCCAGATAAGTCCGGGTACACTTATTTTAAGAAAGGGTTTCTCTTGCCGGCTTACACGGGTGGTAAGCATCGAATTTGGGGGCTCACTGCTGTCATCACTCATGTTATTATGAAGACTCTGGCTCCTGAGGTTTATAAACATGAGTTCAAGATGCTGCAGCCTGTTAAAGTGTCGTAGGAATTTTGTATCATTGGTTTTAATAAAAATATTATTTTTTTATAATTATCATCTTCTTTATTGATTAATTGTTTATGTTTCATTTTATTTTTTAGTTATTTGTAGTGCAGTTGAGAGGACTTATCGTCAGGGAAAATTGGTTGTGAGATGGTAGTTTATAGTGATGATAAAGATGGCGCTACCTATCCCATTTCTAGAAAAAGATAAATATATTATATAATAATTAATAAACTGAGAAGCTGACAAATCAAATTTATATTATGAGTTAAATAAGAAAAAATGATGATTGTTTTTTTCACGATTTATAATTTTTATACCCATAAAATTAATATTTTTAATTTTTTGAACAATTACATATTTTTCCTTCAAGTTTACAAAAAATAGAATAATTAAAAAATGTCAATTAAAAAAAAAAAAGTTAGGAAAACGGTTGACCCTGAAGGCCATCCCTGCAACTTCCCGCTACTTTCGTAATTAAGCGCTCAAAATTGCACTTATTACGTTTTTGAGCTCTTCAAGCTAAAAAATATAATTTTTGTGTAGTTTTGAGCTCTCCGAGCTCAAATGTCCGATAGAAGTTTAATAAAACACTATTTTTTGAATTTTCAAACCCGAATAACTTTTGAATGAATGCACTGACTTTCACGCGGTTGGCGGCATTCGACGCAGTTTTTCAAATTCTATGATATATTTTTTAAAACAAATTAATCAGACCGGAAATTTCGGTGTAATTCGAAAAAAACACTTTTTTTCGATTTCTTCCGTCAACGATAACTCACGAACGAATCAACCGATTTTGACCGGCTTGGTGGCGATCGACGTAGTTTTTTGATGGTAAGAGCTGATTAGTTTTTGGAATTGATCGGTCAAGCCGTTTGAAAGTTACTAAAAAAAACACCACATTTGAAAAAAAATTTTTTTCGCAGTTTTTTTAAGATTTCTAGAGGTTACGTATACATACATAAACATAAACACACACACACACACACACACACACACACACACACACACACACACAGACATACCGACACCATCGCAGGAATAGTCAGGGAAGCTTCCTAGGACCTCAAAACGTCAAGATCTGATGAAAACTCGATTTTCGAAAAACGGGGTAAAAACAATAACTTCCCGATTTTTGAAAATCTTCGATTTTCTTAGCGGGAAGTTAAAAAACATTGAAGAAATCATAATTGTTTTGTTTTACGGTAGATAATGTTTAAATTTATAAAAATAATGGTTAGAATTTTTTTTCAAATTATATATTTTTTTTCTAAAGTTTATCAAAAATATAGAATCATGAAAAAATGTCCATTTTTCCTTACAAAACAAAATTTGAAATAAAAAATAAATTAATTGTTTTTACACGTAAAATAGAGAAAAAATACAATAAGGTGAACACAAAATTTCCGATATCATTAAAGTTGATTGAAAACTATATTTTACAAATTTTCATGAATATTAAAAATAACGAAGCTCCTCAATTATTTTTGGTTGCAAAATAAGAACGAAGTAAAATTAAAGAACATTATTATTTATTTAATCCACAGATGAAATACTGGATACAATACTTGAACATTAAGTAAACACTTGATTAGAATAATCTTCAATAAGAAGCTCGTTGCAAAATATTTAAAGTGTGCAATAGATTGTAAAAAATTTAAACAGTTTATTTACTTGATTTACTTCGAAGACTTTGATTTGATATACAAGCTCTGAATTTAAATATCACATAGAAGAGATCACAATGGGAGAAGGTTTTGTTAATTTTAACAACAATTATAGTTATCAATATCAATTAAAAGAGGATTGGATTAATGACGTCTGATGAGTCTCGATCGGTGGTGACTCGTAAAACCTTCTGTGTCATTAACGGACGTCGACGGGCGACGGGGTGACCTGGGTGGCGTCGAGTCACCTATTAATCCGTGTTCTTTGGTGACGAACGCTGGAAACGATGACCGTCGAATTAACGGCGGTGTACTCGTCCCTGGAACGCAACTTTTAATGTTTTTTTTTGGTATCTTTGTCTCCACACTTTTATTGGGTTTTAATAACCTCTTAATTAATGAGAAGAAATGTAAGTATAAATTATTACATTTTAAGTAAAAAATCATTTTAATAAATAAATATATTAATATAATTTTTTTTTTTTTTTATTACCAGACACTCGTACTGCCGAACGCTGACATCCCATTGGTACATCCAATGACATTTGTGTTTTTAATAACTGCTCGCGGCTAATACACTTTCTAGGTAACATCAAATCTACTATTGACTGTCTCCTAGGTATCAATGTACTTTCAACACTTGATGTTGGATCCTGAATTTTCAGGAATGACGATTAACATACTGCCCTTGCTTCGAAATAGAGAAACAAGTATGATTTTATTTTACAAAAAAGAAAAAAACAGTGATATCTTCCCATTAAAAAAAAATTTAAGGAATTATACCTAGTTGCAAGCCAATAAAACGCGTTTTTTTAATAATTTTTTCTCTCCAGAGATATTTTATTTAACAAATATATCGCGTGAAAAATGCCGTAAAGGCGTATTACAGCAGTTACATAAGCTTTTGTGTCAAAGGGGTGGATATAAAAAAATTTTTTTTATCATTCAACTCAAAATCGTTCAAAATTTCAAGATCAATATATGAAATTTATTGAATTACTACAGCCTAAAAAAAATATTTCAAGGTATACTAAGCCCAAAAGAGCTTAGAAAAAAATTGATGTTCTATTACACAAGGTTGACACAAAGCTCGAAAAATAATACTCAGGGTATGAAAATAAACTGTGGAGAGAAGGTTACCCGATGAATTAATAAGACAATTAGATACCACTAGAAATTTGTAAGCCCTTTTGACTTTAGATCACTAAATTTTGAAGTTTTTAAAGTCAAAATGGTGTACATTTTTAGTCATATGCCCTTTTAGATTTTCAAATTTTTTTTTCTTTTCAGTTTCAAGCTTAGAATATGGTTGTAAAGTGATTGGCAAAAAAAATGATTAAATGCCGGTATTAATCGAAGCAATGGTCAAAATTTTAATTTTTGACATAATGGCAGCTTCCAAAAAAAAAAAAAAAAATTGCGATTTTTGAAAAAATTTCTCACTTTAAGTAGTCTAAAAAATTGAAATATTTGTCAGAGATCTTATTCCTTCGATTAATACTCGGGTAATATATCTAAGAAGATTGTGTAAAAATTTGAAACCGATCGATGAAGTCGTTTTAGAGAAATCGTGCTTACTGACTTTGAAAACATCGTTTTGAGAAAAACGCGTTTTTTTATGCCCGGAGATGTTCTTACGAAAATGCATTTATCTTCAAGAATATTTGCCAGATCAATTTGAAATTTTCAGAGAATAGACACAAAAAATTTGGAAAATCTAAATGTGCATGCCTTGAGCGCTCATGTTTCACATAAAATTAAATATTTGTTTCTTTATTTTTAATTTTCCGCATACAGTAATTATTTATGACGCGAATGAAACGCCCTCACGTATTCCGATATATCTGCTACTTACAAGTCGATACGCATACCTACGTTGTCTCGGTCGCAGAGTAGCTGTGAGAACTCTGTTTACTAAAAAAAATAAAGATATGCCCGACCTGAATGGGAAAATTCGGTGTGAATGCTAATTAAAATGTTTTAATTACAACTAAACGAGACAATATCAAGCTTTGATATTGAATAGGGTTCTTCATTCAAGTTTAATGACAGGGCTGATAAAAAAAAATGAGTCCTAAAATTGTATATATTTTTAGTTATCTTGACCCTACCACCATATTTTCACAGTTATTTCCACTACAAATTAAAAAAAACTAGTTTTTTCACTAAAATTGATAATTAATTTACGAAGCGGTGTTGTTAATTAGTTCAGTAATCATTCTTCTTGCCACCAGTGTATTTTTTTTTAACATATGTACGAGGATTATGGATTAAAAATACAATTTCTCTTGACGAGACCGGAAACTTGATTTTTAGGCCCCAGTAGAGCGATGCTTTCGTAAGGTCGCGCTTAAGGGATGCAATTAATATAAGTACATTTTGAAATCTCAAAAAAAAATCGATTTTTAGAATATTTCATCTAGGTATAATCCCTTGAGTTATCAGTCAACAGACTCTAAATCATTAAAAAAAAAAAAAATCTTAACACGAAAGTTAATGGACGTTTTTATAAAAATTAGTTTATTTTTAACCAAAGTATAAAAATAAAATGTTAAATGTCAATTTTTTTATGGTCTCCAATAAAATCATTAATTAAAACTCGATAATCCTGAATCTTCACTAGAGTAAATGCGTCATCTAAATATAAAACCGGAAGAGTTGACAAACTTAAAAGAACTTCAATAAAAAATTTTATTAATGGCAAGATATCCTGGAGAAAAATAAAAATAAAAAAAATTAATAATTGATAATTAATAAAAGATCGTACCTGAGTATTTATGAAACGTATCCGTAAATATTCTACAAAGGCACCGATTACGGAAAACACCAGCATCATAATAAGGATGTAATCCGTGACAGGTACTGATTTCGGACGAATAATTCGGAAACTCGGACTGGACAAATTTGTACCGCTTTTTGTAGTCTCTTCAGTCTCATTATCATTATCATTAGTAATTGTCTTACTTCCACTCTCAATACTGTCTAATTTGTACGTGCAATTTTTGTCGTAGTAATCCACAAAGATACTCTCAATAATCATTTGGTATTTGTACGGACACAGCTTCAGTTTAGCGAAGTCAATCTTCTCCTCTGGAATTTTCATTTCTTCTTCATCGACTCCATCAATGTTGTTTTTATTGTTGTCATTGGACAAAGTATTGGCATGTGTATCCTCGTAATTAGTGTCAAGCAATAGTCGGAAAGGAAGAACAAGTATTACTGCGAATATTATAAGGATAATTATTATACTGACATTTATTCCTAATGACATTCGTCCATCCATGGTAAATTTATTTTTTCTTATTGATTTTTGATTTTATAATTATTCTTTTATTTTATTTAAAAAATACTTTTTACATGGTAATTTATTTTCACTTTTCAGGCGCAGTACTTGCTACGTTCAATGTTTAGTCATGACTAAAAGCTTGCAGGGGTATTGATTATTTGGAAATATGCATCCAGTGCGCAAGATCATGAAGATAATTTTTACCTGGATATTTTTTTTTTTTTTAAGTAAATAATTTCTATTTTTTTAAGTTTAATGTTTTTATTTTTTAATGAAGACAAATTTGTTATTTCAGAACAAATTACCGAAAATTTTATTCGATTAAAATGAAGGAGAAGAAGAATAAGAAGGAACAGTCCAATAGAAAATAAGCTGACGGAATAGAAGAGAAGAAATGTTAGGGGATGAGATCAGAGTTTTATAAGAGCAATAAAACAATAATCGAGTATGCATATGAGGCATCAGAGGGCAAAAGGCCGGAGAGGATAATTTTTATTTATTATTTAGCGGTTTTTTTTTGTCGAGGATCAAGATGAGGGGTGAGAGGTGAGAGTGCGGCAAATGCCTGGTGGCGAGTTTCAGCCCAGCTGAGATCGGAGTAAGAGCACCGAGAGAAGAGTGAGATGAGAAGCAAGACAGATAAACAACAAAACAAAAACAACACCGATACGAAATACGTATAACGAATAAAGGGAGGAATGAAACACTGAACACAGGAGAACAGCGACCCGACCCGACCGACCGGTAGCCCAGCCGCACGTATATATCTTGCTTCGCTTCACCACACTCTGATTTCTCGAGGTTCTCAACGTTATTTAAACTCGATCCTTTTGTAAATTACTTTTTCTTTCATTTTCTTCTTTAACTTTTTTTTTTTTTAATTGTCTACTTTATTAAACTATTTCAAGTGATAAATGCCAAAAGGGCGAAGAAATTTTTTTTTATGCTAATCACTTATGCTAATCAAAAGTGCGTATGTCTGAAATTATATGCCCTTTTGACTTTAGGAACTTCAAAATTTTGTGATTTAAAGCCAAAAGGGCGTAGAAAATTTTAGCTGTATCTAATTGTCTAATTAATCTATTGGGTATCTTCTCTCTATAGTTGATTTTCAGACCCTGGGTATTATTTTGATCTAGCTTTATTTTTCAAGCTTTTTGTCAACGTTATGCAATAAATATGGCTAGGATTTTACAGCGGAAATATTAGTAGTATACAAAAATTTTTTAACTAAAAGATGTTCAAAATTAAATTTTGTAGAAAAAATATTTTTTATAATATTTTGTGAAGACCAATAAGAATTCCGCAATTTAAAAACTGAGATTTTTATAATTAGCATAAATTTGAATAATTTATTATGAATCTTAATTGAAGAATCAAGCTGAAAATTTTGGTCTTATAGAAAAATTATAAGAGATATTTCTCGTAGAAAATTAAATTTTCCGCAACTTTTTTTATAAGACAAATATTTTTGAAAAAAAAATCTTGGACCCCGTAATAAAACATCAATTTTTTTTTCTACGCCCTTTTGGCTTTAAAAAATTTTTTTTTTTCTTGTATATCTTGAAATATTTTTCTAAGGTTTAAGTAATTCGAAAAATTTTTTATATTGATCTTGACATTTTAAACGATTTTGAGTTGAATGGCAAAAAAATATTTTTTTATACGTTTTTTTGGCATAAAACTCTATCTAACTGCTGTAATACGCTCTTTTGGCATTTATCAAGCAATTTAATTATTAATTCATTAAATTTTTTATTCAAAATTTTTTCCAGTAAAAGTTGAAAACATTTCTATTGAAGAAATCTTCAATAGAGAAGTTTTTAAAAGCAATTGTATTTTTATTTAATTTAATTTAAAATTTTTTTTTTTTTTAGAAAAGATTAAAAGTTGAAATAAAAATCAACTTTTCAGCAATGATTGAATTTGTCAGTCAATAGTCCTGATTGAAAAAGCGTCCCAGCTTTTTAGGAAGGAAGTTTGAGCAAAGAAGCAAACAGAGAATTCATGAACTTGTTGAATGCGGCGCAAGAAGGTGCTGGTTGAGAGCCCAGGTATGTAGAGCAGATGCTCTGACCGCGGTAGTGGTAGCGGGGTGATTTTTCACCGCCGACAGCTCCTCCTTCGTACGAGTAGAGACCCGTACCTGGTGTACATTCCTATCCACTTGCCTCCTACTCTCGATCTCTTTTCTTGGGCGTGCTCGCCTATACTACCAGTTGCTGCTGCTGATCCTGCTGCTGCTGCACCACATCCTTCACTCCATCCTCCATCCGAGGTTTTATACTGTATCTCCTCACACCCTACCGAGATTACTCATTTTTTTTCGCACCCGATTTTTTGCTGCAATTGACATTTCACTTTTTTACTCTTTCTCTGCACCTTTTATTCATTTATTATAATTATTTTTATAAATTTACCTAGATCGTTTAACCGAGTCTTATCAAATTTCTATTAGTCGCTCTTCTTGGAGGTTTGCTTCTACAAATTATTATTATTGAAAAAATAATTAATGTAATCAGAATTATTAACTTTGTTATTTTACTTATCATTTTGATAAATTATTATAAAACTAATAATTAATGTTTTTTTGCAAAAACTAGAGTTGAGTAATAACTGGAAGAATCATTAAACTGCGAGATTTTATACACGCTGATAAAAATATTTACTTATGATAAGTGTAAGCAAACGATTAAAATTCATTGAATAATTTAGCTGCTTTAAAATTCCAAGGTGAATTTTTGACAAAGAAAATTACAAGGTAATTTCACTTTTTTATTGTACTTTATACTTGAAATTTTTAAGTTTCCTTTAAGGGTTTCCTACGCACTTAGAAAGCTGAAAAAAAAAGATTTCTGAATCATTTTTTTCTAAAGAAAGCTTTTAATTGATTGATATGAAAATTGATGAACTTATAGTAGTGAGTCTTAACTTTAATTTTGAGTTCTTTTTTTTGCAAATAATTATTTTTTTTTTAACTTATGAAAGTCATTTAGAATCATCAAATCAAAATCTAAAGAAGTATATATCCTATTTTTGTCAAAAAATTAATACGAAATAATCAAATCTTTAAAATCTGGTTTAAATACTGATGATACAAAAAAATCACAGGATACTATTCTTGTAAGAAATTTAATTTTCTACCAAAAAAGATCTTATGAATTTTCATCTATCTCTTATCGTTTGACTATAATTTTAATTTCAAATTTGAGTTTAATAATTTTAGATTAAATTATGTGTTAAGGAAGTTTCAAATCTAAATTTTGGTTTAAATACTGAAGATACGAAAAAATCATGAGATATTTATTGAAAGAGCTTATGAGTTGAAACGATTGTTATGCTTGTTTTATAATTTTAACTTAAAAAAATATAATACTTTTGTTTATAAAAAACATAATAATTGCTCCGAATATTGACCATTACGCACTAAATATTGACCGCCTAAGTTCTAAATATTGACCAGTAGTATTATGTTTACTAAACTTATAAATAATTTTTATTTTTAATCTATAATAGTTTCGACATTTGGTAATCTTTTCACTGACATGTTAAAAATTTCAGTATTGTTGTTAGTTGTTCTGTATTCTGATACAATATTATTTTCAATACTCATATTGAAATCAATGACCGAAGCCATACTAATATTAGGTACATTGGATAATTTACAACACCAATTGTTGACTAGAGTATTATTTCAATTACTGGCATGCTTTTTCTGAAAAAAAATGATTGATAATTAATCTTCGATATTCAATTTTATTGACAAACATTTGTTAATTGATTATAAAGTATTTAATTTCATATAAATTGATCATAAATGTACTTATCAAACACAGTGAAGTTCTAATGATTAATTTTCACAACTTTCTGACTTTTGTAAACAAACTTATTTTTTTTTATTTCTACAACTGCATATATTTATGTGCGTGCGCAAATTTTTATTTAAAGTATATTTATAAATTGATAATTACGTACTGAATACAAAGTGAAATTACTAGATTTTTTTTATCAAATTGTTATGCTGCCTGGTTAATATTTGGTTCTTTTACCCTACATTATAAAAATGGAATAAAAAAAAAATTAATATTTAAAAATTCCAAGTGCGTAAAATCCTGTAAAAACTTTTATAAAAATAATGATAATTACTAAGTTAACAAATAGGTAAAAAATATCATAAATGATTTAAAAAAGTTATTTTTATATACAGGGTTATCCTTGCCTGGATATTTTTCATCTCGAGGGGGTTTGGAGCGCCCGAGGAGGCGAGAACAGAGCAGCAATTTGCGTAATTGCGATCTCTCGGTGCTCAAAAGATCAGGCATCGGTTGGCCGGTTTAGTTGTTGCTCGGATGGAATATGGACGAGTCTTGAGCAGAGTCTTAACTTTTAACTTTGCAGAGCTCGAGGCGCTACTTCTTATTCTTTATCTCGAGTGCCCTCTTCTTCTTCTTCTTGCTCTTATTTTTCTTGGTCTCATATTATTCCAGCCAAAGTCAGTCTAGAGTCTAAAGCTGACTTTATAACTCATTTTTAAACCTACTACAACTACTACTAATTTAATGATAATAACAACAATAATAACCAGCAACAAGTACTTTGGTTACTTAAAGTCTGCCGGCTCGTGCTACGTCAATTAGCCTACACAGAATTCACAAGAACTTTAAACACTAAAATAAATGAAATAAAATACCAAAAGATAAAAATGTTGACAGCGCCAGCTGTTTATTATCCTTTAGACATTTGAAGTGAGAATTCAAGTCAAGAAATTTTTAAAGCAAGACATCTCTAGTTGTCTGGAAAATAATTTCGCTTTTGGATTAAGAAATCTTAGGTAGATAAATTTATTTCCATCTACTGATGAGAAAGGATTTGTTTGATTTTAAATAAATTTCATTAATTATTTATAAATGATTTTTTTACATTAGATAATTTAAAAAATATTTATTAACTGTTAATAAATATTGAATTATATTTAATAGATCAACGAATTGTTCTCATACAATTAGATCTATACTTTTTCATAAATTGTTGAACTTTTATCCGTTATTTATAAATAATTAGACAGTAAAAAATTTTTTTTTAGTTTTTTTTAAACTCACAACAAATACATAAAAAGACTGTCAGATTTTTGAAAGTTTTTGACGGATAGTTTTTTTTTATAACTAAGAAACTGGTACAGAACTGCAGAAATCGTATGCAATCAATGTTAAGGGGGTATTCTACTCTAGAAGCGTGAATTTCACCTATGTAGGACTCCCCAGAGTTGAACAACGGGGCCAGTCTTGGCACAAGCCAATTTAATTATAATTTAATTTTACTAAATTAATAATTTGTTAATTTGTTGCACTACAATAAAAATAATTTTTTCAAATCTTCTAAATTCAGATTCATAAAATTAAAAAAAATTGTTTCATTTCCTAATGAATAAACTTGTGCTTATTTTATAACCAAAAATATTGAAATTAAGGTCGTTGAAGCGACCATAATTTTAAATTAGAAAAAAAAAAAAAAAAAAAAGTGAAAATATTGAAATTTAAAATGGAAAATTATTAATTATCTAATTTTTAAAAATTAAAATCAAGTTAGCCGACATTTAAAAATTTTTAGAATTTTTTTTTATTGAAGAAATGAATACAAAAAAATAAAAAAAAAATTTCACTTGTAAAAAATTTTAAAAACTGTAAGTGAAATTTTTAAAAAATATTTTTTTGTTCTAATTTAATTTAAAAAAAAAAAAAATCAAAAAAATGAAAATCGTCGGCTAACTTTAGTATTATTTTTTAAAAATGTTCCTTATATTCCTCTAATTTACTTTATTTTAAATTTTATAAATTCCAAATTAGTATTGCTGTGAATGTAGTAGACAATAAATGTTCTTGGTGTCATAAAAAAACAAGTGTAAGCAATCTAAATAAATGCATTTTTTCCAGTTATTTTACTTTTTAATTGTTTATTTCTTTAATTATAATTAATCTACTTTTGTATAACCCTTACATTAATACTCATGAATAAATTATTAATTTTTAATTAAACATTTTTTTTATTAATTTAGAAATCGCAAAAAAGAATAACTTGAGATTTTTATTTTTTCCTTGCACCGCTGAGACTATCGGCTCGTAGCTTTTCGGATGGCGTTATATGTTGCACGCTTGTCAAATATCTATAACAGATCGAGTTGTCGATTGTCTCCACGCGCAGTCAGCCGTTATTCAGTTGAGTCAATGTCCGTCTGCATGGTTATTAATTTAAAAAGTATTCCCCAGCACATCTATGTACTAGAATTTTTCTAACCTTTTTTTTTTAATTTGATTTATAATTTTAAATTTTATTTTTTGGAATTTATCAATTCATTTTTTTTTTTTTAACAATTGAAGTATTAATCTAACTAAACAATGTCTGATAAATCAGTGAAAGTGTTTGCGGTAGTCGAATTTGATGAGTGTATTGGTGATGAAAAATCTGTTGAGTTGATTCCCATGATTTGGCTAGCGGAGGATGAAATGTCATGTCTCTGGACACCAGAGGATGAAGGAAAAAACGTGCAAAAATTAATTGAGAAAAAAATTGCACCCGGCTCTGACTGGCAACGGTTTCCTGTTCGAGTAATAAGGAAAGCAAGTAAGTATATTGAACAATTTATTTTTATTCACATTATTTCAACTTATTATTAAGAGTTATCATGTTGTAATTAATTTGATAAGTAATACTTTTATCTCGATTCTTTCAAGATTAAAAATTTTATTTTCTCAAACGTTGATGTTATTATACTAAAGTTAGCCAAAATTTTTAATTTTTTGATTTTTTTTTAATAATCAAACTAGAACAAAAAAATATTTTAAAAAATGCATTTACAGTTTTTAAAATTTTATGCAAAGGAAATTTTTTTTTGTCATCATTTTTTTAATGAAAAAAAAATCTTAAAAGTTTTATTTTTATTTTAATCTTAATAGCAATATTTTCTAACTTAAATTTCTTGAATCTGATTACATCATGACAAAAGTTTGACTGATTCTATTATATTGTCGGTTTTGACAGCTTTTTTCTCTGTTTTGTTATTCATAATTAGCAGTATTTCTAATAGAGTTTGTGTTATTTTAGAATCCTTCGAACAAGGGATGCGACGACTGAAAAGATCCTTTGAAACACCTGATGTTGACAGTTCCGAAGCTGAAAAAAGAAGAAACGATGATCAAGTCATCGTGATGAGCTCTCAGAATTTTGCTTCTGAGCTGAACACAAGCAGTCCTATGAAACATCAAAAAACAGCAAGCTCGGGCTGTAAAAATAAAAGGAAAGATAACGACGGAGAAAATGCATGCCCACCACCAAAAAAACCAAAAAGTATTTATTATTTTAACTTTTATCGTAGCTAAAAATATTAATTAAATAAAATGTATAAATTGTATACTTCAATTTATCACAAATTTATATAATAATTATAATATTGATAAATATATATTCTCGTGTTTAATATTAAGAAGATAAAAATTCTTATTATCATAAGTATTTTTTTTTTTGCTATAATTATTTTTTTTTTATATTTTTTAGTTGATTTAACATGTATGAATGATCTCGGGCTATTTCTAAAATCTATTATTGAGAAAGAAGGTGAGAAAACAAGGCAATTTCTTTCTCTTGCCATCACTGAGCGTTATAGGCAAGAACTAGCAAATGCTAGGTCCACAGCCAATAACCCAAATAATAGCGAAGCCTGGAAGATTATTGGAGATGATATGCCTTTCTCTGAGCTTGGGAAATTCGTAGAATTCGATCAATCTTTGGAAAAAGATGAAGAAAAAAAAAGTTCATTGGTATTTACTCTACTATTATTTAAATATTCTTTACTAATCAATGGAAGATAATTTTTACTTAATTAAATAATATAGCGACAAGCAAGTAAAAAAAATATTTATAAATTATTAAAATTTTATTTACACACAGTTTTAATATTTTTTGTTAAAATTATTTCAATAATATTTATAAATTATTTTCCAACGTACACTTTTCTATTCATAATGATTTACAGATGGCGATGTTCAAAATGGTTACAGTTGGATCTACAACTAAAGAACACGACGTTGCAACAATTATTAGTAAAGTTATTAAAAAAGTTATACAACTCGAATACAGCGCGACTGGAAAGAGAAGTAAAGGAGTTGGAAAAAAAAGTTTCAAGGACACGGAAACGTTTAAAGTGATGGACAGTAAGTTAATCTCAAATATGAATTAATTATTATTTATTTAGCAATAAATTGATTCGATTACTGTGTTATTTTAGAGTTTTTGTTGGCGAAGTACGCTAATAGTGCTGGGATAATTTCCACAATTACTGCGTTGAGTAATTTTTTGTCGGGGGCCAAAGATCGTGAGGGAGGCAGAGCTCACCGAGATGAAAATAGAAAATAGTTTATTAAATTAGTTAATATATTACTTGAATCTCATTTTTAATATTGCAATGCAATATCTCATATTATTTTATAACCAAAATTTGATATCTAATATGAATCCACAGATTCGGTAGAATCTGGCGCCAAGTTGCGTTCAAATCCGTTGTCAACGGAGCGCCAGACTACCGACTGTGTTTACTGTAAGCAGAACGGTATTTTGAGGTTGCAAAATTTTATTTAATTCTACGGTATTTTTATTTCCTAAATTGTATATTATAACAGTAATTTATACTTTATTTTACTGTTATTAATTAATTATATTCACTTATAACAATTAATCTACTTGAAATTACTAAATTTAATCAGCACAAACTATAGCAACGCAAAAATTTCGATCCTGACTTTTTTTCGATGGGCAAAGTGATCTGCCACAGACTAAAATATTCGAGAATGCATAGTAATCCTTCATTAGATGGAAAACTACAGTTAAAACAAGATATTTCACAGCTTGCATCTACATCCGCCAGGGTGCGCTGGAATTATTTTTACATAAACTGTAGCTTCAAGGGAATAGTTTGCTATAAAAAATGCAGCCAACGCGAGATTTAAGTTGGTACCAACTGTAAATTTTTATTATAATTACAAAAAATACTAAAATTCGAACAAAAACAAGTTTCACAGTAAAAAAATCGCGCCAAGTTCACGTTCATAAGACTATTAAGAAAAAAAAAATAGTTTTTTCTTTACAAAAAGATGTAAAATAAAAAAATTAAACAATCCAAGTAACCGATATGATTGTTCATGATTTTCGGAAATTAAAAAAAATTTTGATGTAAAGTTAAAAATCGAAAAAACAATGTTAGAACGTACTTGGTGTGCGTCATATTGTGCATTTCAATTCTTTTAAAGTCCTAGTAAATAGATTTTACGAATTTAATTAAAAGTAAAATATTTCGCAACAACGCACACCAAATACGTTCCAAAATTGTTTTTTTAAATTTTTAAATTTACAACAAAATTTTTTTTAATTTCCGAAAATCATAAACAATCATATCGGTTACTTGGATTTTTTAATTTTTTTATTTTATATCTTTTTGTAAAGAAAAAAACTAATTTTTTTTTCTTTAATAGTCTTTATGAACGTGGACTTGGCGCGATTTTTTTACAGTGAAACTGTTTTTGTTCGGATATAATTATCTTTAAATAATTTGATGATTTTTTTCAATTATTTATTAGTAATTATTAAAATTATAATAGCAATTAGTAAGTTATTATTGGTAAAGTATTATTTATTATCATAGTAATTAGTAATTTTCTATAAGATTTGTTAAAAACCAAATAATTAACTATAATAGTTAAAAATAACCATGGCACCAACTTTGTATTTATAATTCAGTCACACATGGCAGTCATGATGGATCAGTTTCGGTAAGATAACATTGGCTCAACTCTGGTGAAAATCTGGTGATTAAGCTTGGCCCAGCCATGGCAACCATCTTTTTATTTGCACTTATTAACTATTAACAAACGTACTTTTTTTTTAGAAAAATATTTTTCAATAATAAAAAACTATTTAGTTACCTTTTTAACAAATAAAAAAAATGAAAAAGTGTTCCTAAATAAATGAATTTATCAACAATTAATAAATTCTTCCATCAGAGCACCAATCGATAAATAACTTGAAAACAAACAAAAACATGGCCGAAGCCCAAATAAAAGGAGTATTATATCAAACATTAGCTGTTTGCGAGCCCGGAGATAAATATAAATAATACAACAATAAATAAACAAAGTATATTTGAGCTTAGCTTATTAAAAGGCGTTTTATCTCAGCAGAGCGTATGGAGGAACGTCAAACGGGTTCTACTTACACTGGATGCATAAATAAGTAATAACTCGAACACACACATAACAGAAAGCGCATCTCGGATCTCTGAAACTGCGAGCGAGCTGAAGGATGGAGATGGAAAGATATAAACTTATCTTAATGTCAATGCTCCGGTCTTACTCCAGGCCACTCGTTGCGTTCATTAAGGTCATTAACATTCAATCATCCCAGGACACTACTGCAACCTCGACCAGTATTATAAACAACTATCTACAGGAAATAATTATTAGTTCCATTCATCTACTACCAACTTGTCCTTCCTCCTTCCAGCTCCTTCTTGCTATCAAATATCTAAAAAATAAAAGCGCGGATTTAAATACCGTAATTAAAAAATATTTTTAAACTTTGAGATTACCTCGGATGGAGACATCGCCGCGACATCACTGACATTTATGGATCCGTATAATCGTCACCGTAGTAATCCTGATAATAAAAGCTGGCTCGTTAAATATCAATAATAAAATCGTAAACACTGACACACATTAATCCGGAAGTAATGGCAAGTATCGTTAAATTGTTTATTATTAAAATTAAAATATCTTCGGTTTTAATGATACCGTGTCATGTTTTGTAGGTTGTATGTTATATCGCGAATGGAAGCTTCTCTGTAAAATCAGAATCAGGATCTGTATCTGTATCTGGATCTGATTATAAGTGGAATCGAATGTGATATGACCTCGGCGCTCCAATTTACCGGTTAATTGGGCGACATTTCTTTAACTTTTTATTTGCGCTGAAACTCACATATGAAGACTTTATACTTTTAATCTCCAGAAACTACTTTACCGAGTACTTTAAACTTGGTAAGCCTAATTACGCTGGTTCATTTCTTGGACACCGATAAAAGAATTTATTTAATGTTATTCACTTCATTTATTTGGAAATAATTTTTTCGCTTATTAAATTTCATTAAATATTTTTAAGTATGTTAATGTTAATAAATCATTTATTAACAGTTAATAAAGCTTATTGAACAATAAAAAATTTTTTTATCAGATGTTTAGGAAAAAAAAATTATTTCATCTAGGATTAGAACCCTGGACCTCTGAAAAATTTTTTCAAACTAGGAGAACTGTAGCTACTTAGCGGTTATTTTTTAAACTAACTTTATGGTTCAATTCATTTTTAATTATTTATTTTAATTCTTAACACTAATAGAAGAAGTTATTACTTGTTAATAAATCTTATTTGATAAATGATTTATCAACTGTTATTCGAATATTTATTAAAACATTTAATGTTGAGAAATTATTTATTAGCAGCTAAGAAAGCTCATTAAATATTAACAAATCCTTCGATAAAAGTATATGAAAAAATAACTGTCTGGGATTCGAATTCTGGACTTCTGAGAATTTTTTAGTAAACTTAAATATTTCACTTTTAGATTTTAGATTCACTTTTAGACAACTCGCCCTAAATCTATCTAACGGATTTTTTTTAACTAACTTTTTTATCTAATTTATCTTAAATTCTTAATTTTATTTCTTAACACACTGATAAAAGAATTTATTAACTGTTAATAATTAAATTATTCTGAAACAATTCGTTTATTTATGAAAATCAACTAAATATTTTTTAACTTTTATCTATGAATAGTTTTTGGAGAAAAAATACATTCATTAACAGTTTATAAATTTTATCTGATAAATGATTTATCAATTGTTAAGGTAGTTGTCATGATACAATATTGTCAAAACACTAGAGATTATATGCGCCGCAAAAGTATATGAGCTTGTAGCTAAGTAATCCATAATTTTTACGCAAGAATCTACTCGTAGACACGCAACCCATACAATTGTTTCTGTCCGACTCCGTAGATATACTTTTTCATAAATTGTTAAACTTTAATCCGTTATTTATGAATAATTAGACGGTCAAAAATTTTTAACTCACAACAAATACATTAAAAGACTGTCGGTCCAATTTTTAATTGAATTCATCTCGGGTTATAGGTGTTCAATCGAATTTAAATTTTAAGGGTAATTTTATCATCATGTCCTTAACAAGTATACAAAAATTTAGAATTTTCTGACGGTATGCCTCAACCACGACAAGTACTTTAATAAATATTTATTGAAACATTTTTTAACAGTTAATAAATTATATTAAATATTAAGCTAGTACCCTCTGTTAGAGATTTGGTAAATCCATTCAAAATTTGACGAAATTTGATATATCAGTAAATTTTAGTAAAATAATAAGTCCACTAAATTTCATAAAACCTTAGGATAACCACTAAAAAAATATTGAGCTTTTAAAGTTTTAGAGTTAAACATTAAATCTTATGAGAAAATAACAGTTTTTATTTTATTTTACAAAAAGTGAAAAATTAATAAAAAACTCAAAGATTATTTTTGTCTCTCTTTCTGTAATACGATTTTGCATAGGAAAATCAACTACGTAAAATATAATAAGGCTTTGTACGACCTACAAAAAATTTCTATTGATCGAAATTTTTTATTATTTACTTATTACATTTATTTACTAATTATTGAATTGAAATATAAAGCATGGATGAATTGAAAAGGTAACGGAGCGCATATAAAACTCGAGTTGCGTTTCCGAGCAAAAATAAAGTTGCGTTGTTATGTGTTATGTGTGCGGTTTAACACCGCACGTGAATAAGCGAGAAGATACTACACTGAGGGTGGAGTATTTGTATGTTACGCGCACACGATACGGTTAAAACGGTGTTAACCGGTAATTTAGATCGAGCCTTAACGGCTGCTAATTTAGACTTCCGTTATGCGGGCACGCGATTTTAAATATTCGACAATGTGTTCGATTAATGATAAATCCCGAGATCCTGATTGATATTTATGCGAGCAGTGTATTTTAGCAGTGCGCCGACAAGTTGCTTTCCCGGTTTTATAACATATTTTTTTGTTCAACCGTATGTATTTATACTCATACATACAAACACTTGATACCAACTACCAACACGTGTCGATAATTCTTCAAAGTTTTTTATCGAGAAAAGTGTAAGTAACCAGTGTGTTAACTTGTGTTTATTTTAATTAATAAACTCTCTCATTTTTTTGACTTTCAGTCGGTAATTAAATTTAATTATTCAAATTTTTATTTTATTCCAGGTTATTTTGACACCTCTGATTCTAAAATTGGCCTGACCG